ACCAATATCCATGGCTTGTTTAATCAAATCATATCAATCAATGTTTAATAGTATTGGTGAAGGGAAATGAACTAGTGGATCGGGCGGGAAGATGAACAGCAGGTAGCAGGATGAGTTATATAATTTAAATATTGAGGTTGGAAAATTTAACAAGCAGAAGTATAGGAAAAGATCTCGTCGTCGGTTTGAAAATTGAGAGTTTAAGAGTTGAAGTTTAAAAGAAAAAGAGGAACAAAGGAAGACAATTCTGGGATCGGCTGGGATGAATTTTAAAATTTCGAGACACGTCGGACATCCCTTTGTCAGTAAATTCTCGACATTTCCGAAATCATGAAAATAGGCATGATGGATGGTGGATATCAAATTTCAAGAATGTGTGAATCATTTGTGAGCGTTCTCGATATTTTCGACACTGAATAATTGATGTCAAAAGTTTAAATTCCTTCATTAAATATTCAAAGTTACTGGGCGAGTCACATATGGCGAGGAACGAGCTAGTTTCTTGATCAGCAAGGAATCTATTTATTTAACACTTAATTGAGTTAAGCATATCTGAAACCATGGACCAAACAAAAACAGAAAAAACGTGGAGACAATTTGACGGAGGTAAATGACTACCATTACTCTGCAAGACTACCGCTACTCCGCAAGACTACCGCTACACCGCAAGACTACCGCTACTCCGCAAGACTACCGCTACTCCGCAAGACTACCGTTACTCCGCAAGACTACCGTTACTCCGCAAGACTACCGTTACTCCGCAAGACTACCGTTACTCCGCAAGACTACCGCTACTCCGCAAGACTACCGCTACTCCGCAAGACTACCGTTACTCCGCAAGACTACCGCTACTCCGCAAGACTACCGCTACTCCGCAAGACTACCGTTGATCTTAGTGATAATTACTCCTTTGTCATAAAACACGAACATTAGGCGAGCAGGTACGGCAACTGTATACGGTAAATATACAGTAAATATAATACAGTAAATATACAATAGGCCTCCTATTCATTATTGTTTAATTCCATTCATTCGATACCGTGTTAGTGTTATCCCTTATAAATTTACGTTAAATTCCACCGACAAACGCTCTTTGTGGTATATTTGAATCAGTTAATATGTTTAATTAAACTTTAATAATTTATTAAGAAAATTAGTGAAGTGTACAAGTTCTGGATACTGTCCAAAAAGGATGATAATTTAAAGGTTTGTTCTATTTTTGCTCTTCATAAGGCAGCCCGACACAGCCATACATGTAAATTACAGCCAATCCTGCAGTCAGGGTTTGGGCTGAACCAGGTTAAAATATCCCCATTCTTTTACACTTACACAAACGTAATAGACTTGTATTGTTGCAATTAATCTACTCAGAGAACCAGATGACGCAGCAGCTCGACAACAGTGAACAAAGAATGTGCAAACATGTGACGTCATACTGTGTCATCAGCTCCTGATGCACAAAATAGTGATATAATTTAAACTAATACAATGACACCAGAGTGAGACATAACACCAAAACACTTGTTTTTACTAAAAACACTTGTTTTTACTAAAAACAGGAACGAAGCAGGAAAATACCCGTCTAGTACAACTCCTACTACTATAAAACATTCTACTATATGACTACTATAACATATACAACTAGTAGTTGTATGCGTAGTGTGCTCGGTGTCGTCTTAGTGTCGTGGGTTTACAAGGCGTCAAAACACCACTGAAAACTCCTAAGTGGTTAACAGGCGTTACAGGCAGGCGTTGTCATGACAATAGAGCAGGCGTTGTCAAGACAATAGAGCAGAAGGAACACTTCAAAGGAAGCACAAAAATCTAACAGATTCCTGAAGATATATAGACACTTTTAGACAGGGCGTATAGCACGCTGTTTGTTATCTATCTTTATATAATACAAGTTAGTATTAAGGAAAACACACGTACAGTAAAGTATCTATTAATAATATAAAATATAAATATTTATTCCATTTTAACTTTTTAAGTAGCGAAAGTTCAAGTTTATAAAACGTAGTTTGAAACCAAACTTAGTGAACAACACGTGATTGAAAGAAGAGAAAGCTTATATCAGACAGGAAACATAAACCACACACTTTTCAAGAGTCAGATCACTAGAAAATAGTCAGATCATGAAGCGCAAATCAGAGTCTAGAACAGAGAGATAGATTAAATCATTCTTGTGTTGAAGTGAGAAAAGATCAGCTGAGTTCAACTACATATAACTCACAGAGGAGGAGGAGGAGGAGGAAGAGGAAGAGGAAGAGGAAGAGGAAGAGGAGGAGGAGGAGGAGGAGGAGGAGGAGGAGGAGGAGGATCAGGATGAGGAGGAGGAGGAGTGTGTAGAGTGTAATGTGTGTATAGTTTGTGGTTTGTTTTCTGTTTTCTATGTATTGTGTAGAATGTAACGTGTAGCGTGTAATGTGTAGTGTGTGTAGAGTGAAGAAAATGTAGTGTGTAGTGACAGTGTAAGAGTTGAGTGTAAACAGTTACCATGGTAATGTAGTTACTAGTATAACAGACAGCATGCGGCTAATCACGTAAATCCTCGCAAGATCCACTTCAGTTCAGGTCTCAAAATGTGACAGTTATAACTGTATATAATATAATATCTATATATAAATATACAATACTAATTTATAATGAAAAGCGAAAATGCGACGCATACAACTACAGTACGAAACAATGCACACATTTGTAAAAGCGAAGAGAAAAGTGCCAACTAAATGAGAGCTACAAAACACACACACGCACAATACTCCTGAGTAGAGCTAATACAGCTGGGCCACTGTTGTAAGCGTGTACACTATCTTACAGCAGAGTACAATATACAGCAGCAGGTATATAATGCTGCTAGTTAGTGAGGTATGTTCCTACAGAGCAGCCCTCCTTTGTAGTGATCTTAACGTTAACTACTGCAGGTTATAGGTCTACACAACTATTTGTGGTTAGGAGCCAAGAGTGAGGGGAAAGGAGGAGGGAGGAGGAGTGGGGGGGGGGGAGTGGGAGGGGAAAGGGAGGAGGGGATGGAGGAGGGGGAGGAGATGAAGAGGAGGGGTAGGAGGGAAAAGGGAGGAGGAGAAGTAGGAGGGAAAGTGTAGGAGGGGGGAGTGGGAGGAGTAGGAGGGGAAGGAGGGAAAGGGTAGTAGGGGGAGTGGGAGGAGTAGGATGGGAAGGAGGGAAAGGGTAGGAGGGGGGTGGGATGAGTAGGAGGGGAAGGAGGGAAAGGGTAGGAGGGGGAGTAGGGGGAGTAGGAGGGGAAGGAGTAAGAATAGAGAAGGGAAGAAGAGTAGGAGGGGAGCAGGAGCAAGATAAGGGAAGGCAGGAGAGGGCAGAGGAGAATGAAAATAATGAATACTGAGAGACAAGAGAAGGAGGAGAAGGGGGAGAATGGAGACGAGAGGGGGAGGAAATGGGAAATGGAAGTGGTGTCGAAGAAGGAAAATTAGGTGAAAAACAGAATGTGATTGAAGACAAAGTGCGATGTATAATGATGCATATATACGAGAGAGCGAGAGAGCAATCTAGCGAGGTCACGTGAGAGTTACCAACCAGTCAACGCCGCGCGATCCGTGCACGTGCAGCAAGGGACCACGTGACTCGCGCTATCATGTAATTCAGCACTGAGAGCACGTGCACGCGAATACGGGAGAAGGAAAAGGAAGGATTTAGCGCATGTGGGCTGGTCATGTGACCTTAACAATCACGTGGCATGGCTTTATAAAGGCAGCATTAACAGGCCGGCTTCCGGCTCGCAATCTTGTACAAGCTTGCCTCTTCGAATGTTATGGTGGCGTCCAGTAATCAGCCCCGGACCGATGGCAGTCAGGGATATATTAGCTGCAAATCAGGGATATTTTAAATCCAAATCGGGGATATTTTAGCTGCCAACCAGGAATATTTTTACTGCAAATCAGGCATATTTTAGAATTCAGTCAAGAATATATTAGCTGCAAATCAACAATATTTTAGCTCCAAAGCAGTGTTTTTTAACTGTCAGGCAGGTATATTTTAGCTTCCAGCGAGGGTCACACCCATTGTTAGGTCTAAAATATCTGAAAATAAAACAACAGCTGAAGTTTTAATTCGAACACTCATGCCTGGGTAAGTAAATGATGGAGGAGGTTGACATAAGAGCACATTTCTCGAACTGCTCCTTGTTTTACCTTCAATCGCAGTTTTTGCTTCCCAGATCTTCAGCTAAGTGGACCGCTTGGGGGTTGCAAAAACTCAAGCAGGTGCGCAGAATATCACAACCTAATATTTTCTGTAGGGAATTTAAATTTGTATAAACTATAAAAATGTACTTCAAGTCAAGTAACGAAACTATATAACTTGAATGTGTTAATCTGTATGAGCTGGTTACAGAGAGTTAAGAACTATAGTCTATATTATAAACACTTTGAATGGCCATTGTGACACACAAAGAAAAAAAATCTATACGGCAGTTAAGTAGTAGTAGTAAGGTAAATAACATAGTAAGTGATCCGGCCGAGATTTGCTTTCTGAATAGTTGTGAAACGGTGAAATATATCTTATTCGGAATCCACCATTTGACAGAAATGAATCATATTTCATCACTTTCGAATTATTCAAAAAGTGAATCGCAGCCAGAGTTTTGGATCACTCTTTACACACCGGACTGCTTTTCAAGGAGCCACATTACAAGGTGGGCCCGGTGGCCCGGCTGGAAGCGTGTCATGAGACGAATAGTTCACTAAATCTGAGTTCAACATTTTTACAACATTTTTTTGAAACAAAAAGTGAGGTATGTTTTTCATCTCGATAGATCTTGAATTCGACTGAATAGTTTCGATCTCTCACTTTAGCCACAGGTGGTAATAGAATATTCTTTATATCATTACACATTACCGATATGAAGCTTAAGGCGTGTTACTGGCTATGATGATGATAAGTAAAGATATAAATTAGGATAAGCATCGTGCTACACTTCGATAAATCACAAACTTCGTTTTAATCGTGACTAATAAATCTAGCAAATTATTTTTCACGTATAAAGGAAGCCATACTTCAGCCATTTCTCTCTCCTTTAGATAACGTACGTAATGTATGGGGAATCCCTTGGAAGGGCGGCAAAACTAAATAAACCAATCAGACAACTGTCATCAATCGTAGCGGTAATAAGTTAAAGAAATCCTAACAATTACAATCAAAGTTACAATCAACTAGTGGCAGCACGTTTCGTTGTAAACTTCTAATTTATTCATCCATGTGGAATGTTATGGACATTTACATCGATTTCGTCATCAACTTTTAAATAAAAAAGCGAAAAAATCAACATTCGAAATTTCTCGAATAAGTTCTTATTATTGGTTGTTTGACTTAAGCCGGCAGCCAAACAATTTTAACACCATTTAACACTATTTAACACCATTTAATACTATTTAACACTATTAAACTCAAACGAGTGAGGTGATTCTTGCAAGTATCTAAAAAGGGGCTTCAGAGCCACATCACTCCAGCTTGCTGTGCCTCATTGCTGTTCAAGTGTTAAAATATTCTCTTTACATAAAATTAATTAAATCACACTAACTTTGTTTGGTATTCGGCCATTCGCTCTATTCTCTAACATCCTCAACTAGATGACGTGTAAATTATGAAAAGTGGTAGTTTTCTAAAATCAGACACAATTGCAGTTTATATCTCGCTTATCAAAATCCTGATCTTAGAGTGTACCTTGATAAGTAAAGACGATAACATGGCCCATAAAAAGCAAACGATACGAATCGAGGAACGGGACTAAATATACAAATTTCCAACGAAACGAGGAACGGGACTAAATATACAAATTTCCAACGGAATCAGCAGAATTTTGACACAGTGAATGAAATCAGAACAGAAAATGTGACCGCAGCAGTTAGCCCAGTGACGGGAACTGGCGGTCAATATTTATTATTACCGATATGGTATCACGACATCTTACACATTTATATGAAGGAGTAATTATAAATCATAAATCAAATTAACGGACTCATTTCACATGATGTGGGATTGAATTACACAACCAATTATGGTCGGGTTTCCATTGAAACCACACAATCAATTATAGATTTTAATTGCCTGATAATTAAAATTGAGTAGATAAGTAGAGATAACATCTCCAGCTGTGTGCGAGTAAGAAGTAGGTTACTAAGAAGTGAGCCAAGTGGCATCTGATACAATACAATACAATGTTAGCACTAACAAATAATTTCAGGACAACATGACACTTAAAAACTTTGAACATAACACGAGGAAATATGGACAGAACTGAACAAGAACACAAACCACATTCAAAGACTGAGGAATCAGGAGGACTCTGCAACCCAGGAATCAACTACTTAGGTATCATCGCTCAATAATCGGTTTGGTATCGACGTTACATACTTTGATTTTCCGACTTTAAAGCTGACTTAAGAAACCAGGGAATTAACGTTACCGTTGATTTTATTTCTATATCACTTTTTTCAAACATTCCAGTACATTGTGCAGAAAGTTGGAGAGTTACATTTTCCCAGCGTATAGGGATAGAGATCTGATATCGATCGTAAATATTAAAAATACTCTAGCACAATTATTGTAACTACAGTTTTACAGAACTCTAAATGCTTAATGAACACACTTGCAGGTACAAACCGTATTCACACTCAGAATTGAGTTTAGTCATTTTCCAATATGAGATTGGGGATGGGTTCTATAAACAAACAAACAAACAAGAAGTAAGCCATGTTACTAAGGAATGTGCCAGGTTACTAAGGAATGTGCCAGGTTACTTAGGAATGTGCCAGGTTGCTAAGAAGTGCCAGGTTACTATAAAGTGTACCAGATTACTAAGAAGTGTGAGGGGTTGTTAAGAAGTGTACCAGGTTACTAAGAAGTGTACCAGGTTACTAAGAAGTGTGAGGGGTTACTAAGAAGTGTACCAGGTTACTAAGAAGTGTAGCAGGTTACTAAGAAGTGTGAGGGGTTACTAAGAAGTGTACCAGGTTACTAAGAAGTGTGAGGGGTTACTAAGAAGTACCAGGTTACTAAGAAGTACCAGGTTACTAAGAAGTGTGAGGGGTTACTAAGAAGTGTACCAGGTTACTAAGAAGTGTGAGGGGTTACTATAAAGTGTACCAGGTTACTAAGAAGTGTGAGGGGTTACTAAGAAGTAAGAAGTGTGAGAGGTTACTATAAAGTGTACCAGGTTACTAAGAAGTGTACCAGATTACTAAGAAGTACCAGGTTACTAAGAAGTGTGAGGGGTTACTAAGAAGTGTGAGGGGTTACTAAGAAGTGTGAGGGGTTACTAATGTACCTCGAATTACCTCAAGTAGTTAAAACCTTAATCACCACAAGGGGCCTTAAGCACCTAACCGTAATTTTTTGACGTTAAAAAATTATTCCCAAAGAATAACCAATATCCAGAAGGGAATATAACACAGAAATTAAGCATAATACCTGTTACTTAACAACCTCACATTATAAAATGAAAATGAACTCATACACCAGCTTAAAAAACCAAAAATAAACCTACTTTAACAGCGAGTCTACTTCAACAGCGGATCACACTTGATGATTGGTGTTGTCAGCAATCTGGTAGCAGCAGCTTTAGCGCATTCCTTTAGAGCCTGGCTCAGCAATAACAACAAGTGTGAAGTATCAGGGAGAACCCCAATATGGGCGGAGAGTGGAGCCCCTCTCCCCTCCTCCCTCTGATATGATGGAGGTATTATGTAAATTAGACTCCGGAACATCTCCAAGAGCACATCGAAGATGAAATTCATACCAGAGAGGCCCTGTGCAACGGGCCTCCCTTGCTAACACTGATAGGAGAGGGAGGGCCTGTGGCTAACCCCGCCTTCCTCCTGCAATGTGATATGGGGTTGAAGAGGGAAATGGGATGGAGCAAAGACACTCACACCACTCTCTGACAGTGACAGGGCAGTGATGAAATGTATAGGCCATCCCCTATCCCGAATAGAGATGGGAACTGAGATGAGCCCTCGCCACTCCCCCAATCAGCAGGTACGGCTTAGACAGTAGAACAACCAGCTGACCCTACTCACCTGCTAGAAGCAGGCATCTGACAGGCAGCCCCCGTCGCAGCCTTCTTACTTTATTAGCAATCCGTGTAGGAATAGGAAGACGGAGCGGAGGCCGTACTACCATAGCGCCGAACGATGGGGGGAACTGGAGACTGGAGACCAACTTGGCCCTCCATTCCACGCACCAGATGTAAAGGGTATGGTAATTGAGCCCTCCCTCCCCTCTGATAGATGAGGAGGGGACTGGAGTGAACCCCCTCCCAATGAACTGTCCTAAATAACCGATAGGAATGCTGGAGAGAGACCGATTTAGACTACTACCTGGCTAGAAGTGAAGGGGTGAAATAAGACTGGCCCTACAATCACGGGTGAACTAACACGCATATAATAGAGGGAGAAACTAGTAGGACAAACATTACCGGCGAACTACCCTGTACTAGAGGTAAGGATAAAGGGATTAAATGGACCCTTCCCTCTATAAGTGAGGAGGGGAGACTGGGTACTGGCAGCTTAAGGCAATGACCCTGGATATGATGCAGATTATGGGGGATGAATGACCCCGTCTCACTCCAGAAGTTAAGGGGGGAAAGACTGGACTAGAGATAGGGTGCAACTGCCCCTTGATGATGACTGGAGGGAGCTGGAAGGGGCTCATTACCCTGATCTCGATTAAGGGGGAGGAAGACCTGGTATAGGAGCCTTTCTCCTGGTGAATGACTGGTACTAGAGATTAAGGTGAGACTCCAAAATAAGATTAAGAACAGTGTTGTTCTATGTTGTTTCCACACTCGCAGTGCCACTACGATCTACAAAGCACGTGATAAGGAGAGAGAGGGCCCTGTGATAAGGCCAAGGAGAGAGAGGGCCCTGTGCAGGAGAGAGAGGGCCCTGTGGCTAACCCCACGTGATAAGGAGAGAGAGGGCCCTGTGGCTAACCCCGCCTTCTCCTGGCGGGAATGTGGGACTACTGGGGTTGACAGAGGGAAAGGTGTTGGGAGCAAAGACACTGGCACGACACAACGTGTTAGAACAGGTAGACAGGCAGCTCGAGTGTAAATGTATATAGGATGATGAGAATAGCATTGCAAGCTGATTGCATGCCACGTGCACATTCCCACCAATCAGCTAGCGTCACGTGCTCTACCCGACCAGTGAGAACAAAACAGCTGGACACGTGACACAGCCCGCTAAAGCAGGCATCAACCCACGCGCACCGCACGTGGGCAGATTAATTTACTTTATTAGCAAATCCGTGTAGGAATAAGAAGACCGGAGCGGAGGCGTATGACCAATAGCAGGCCAAACATGGGTCACGTGGACTGGTTGAGACCAATGGACAGGTCAATTTCCACCGCACCAGCAATGTAAACGGTTAGTATTTTTAAACACACGCACTTGAGTGAAACTCTCGACCAAAGTGAAGTGTGTCCTAAATAACCCAATTAGGAATGTGACTAGCAGAGATACGATTTAGGAGTGAAATAACCCTGGCCTAGAAGATAAAGGGGTGAAATAAGCCTGGCCTAGAAGATAAAGGGGTGAAATAACACGGCAATATACAATTAGAGGGAGAAATAGCTAGGGACAAGAACATTAGGGGGCGGAATAACCCGGTACTAGAGGTCAAAGGATAAAGGGATTAAATGACCCTCCTCGTATAAAGATTAAGGGGTGAAATGACCTGGTACTAGCAGATTAAGGGGCGAAATGACCGGGTACTAGCAGATTATGGGGTGAAATGACCGGGTACTAGAAGATTAAGGGGTGAAATGACCTGGTACTAGCAGATTATGGGGTGAAATGACCTGGTACTCGCAGATTATGGGGTGATATGACCTGATACTAGAAGATTAAGGGGTGAAATGACCTGGTACTAGCAGATTTAGGGGTGAAATGACCTGGTACTAGCAGATTAAGGGGTGAAATGACCTGGTACTAGCAAATTTAAGGATAAAATAACCCGTACAAGCAGATTTAGGCGTGAAATGATCTGTTAATAGACAAAAAAAGTGGTGAATTAAAAGGTACGAGACGAATAATAAGGGTGAAATAACCAGGTATGAGGTGAAATAAACCGGTACTAAAGTAACGTACGTGGCCAAGCATAGGCTGCAAAAGCTCAGGAGGCTGCATACGTTAAATATAGGCCACAGTTGTTTAAACTGATTATATCATTAGTAAATAATTAGTAAAAAGGTTTAAGATATTGTAATATTAGGAACTGATATGACTTCCCTCGTCTAAAAGGAGATGATGAACACCGCTTATCATGTTCAGTGTTGTCCTGATAAGCTTGTGTTCTGTATATACATTTTTAACAATGTGAAATAAGCCTGGTCCAGAAAATAAAGGGGTGAAATTACCCGGCAATATAAGATGAACGGTAGAAATAACCAGGGACAAACACGTTAAGGGGCGGAATAACCCGGTACTAGAGGTCAGATGATACATACTTTTAACAGTGGGCTAAGGAAGCATGAAGAATGCTTGAATTTTTAACATTTTCTTACTTAGAATTTGTATAGGGAAATAGGGAGGTATATGAGAAGAACGATGGAAGTTGTGAAATTTAGGTTTTTGTTGGCTGTAGAGTGTAGAACTTGTCTAGCTTCTAGATTCCAACAAAAATAATTACAAATTACCAAACAAATTATAAGTTATTATAGTACAAGTTTTGAATTACAAGTTTCAAAAAGAAATTAAAATTTGAGGCCAAAACAACAATCAAATATTTTACAGTTTGGGTTACAACTCATATCAAATAAAGTAGAACAGACTTCCGAAAGTTTCACACTTAACTGTGCTATAGAACTGAAAAACTGGTGTTGATAGGGTGCCCACAGACAACACACGTACACATATAATAATAGTACAGACTTACAGAGGTCAGACTTACAGAGGTCATACTTACAGACTACAGAGGTCAGACTAACAGAGGTCAGACTAACAGGGGTCAGACTAACAGGGGTCAGACTAACAGGGGTCAGACTACAGAGGTCAGACTAACAGAGGTCAGACTAACAGGGGTCAGACTAACAGGGGTCAGACTAACAGAGGTCAGACTAACAGAGGTCAGACTAACAGGGGTCAGACTAACAGGGGTCAGACCAACAGAGGTCAGACTAACAGGGGTCAGACTAACAGGGGTCAGACTTACAGAGGTCAGACTAACAGAGGTCAGACTAACAGAGGTCAGACTTACAGAGGTCAAACTTACAGAGGTCAGACTTACAGGGGTCAGACTAACAGGGGTCAGACTTACAGAGGTCAAACTTACAGGGGTCAGACTAACAGAGGTCAGACTTCCAGAGGTCAGACTTACAGAGGTCAGACTTACAGGGGTCAGACTTAAACCAACTTACGACAGCTATATATACAGTTTGTTAAGCTCTTATAACATATTATAAAATATTTGTATCATTTAAGCAATTTCCACTAACGAACAGTTACTCGGTTATCTAAGAGATTGTATTAGGATGCTGCATGATATGACATTGTCTCTGTATTATAGTATTGTGATTTGTAAATCTAAACTATATAGGGGAATTTGTTGAGTAATTAGTTGATTATGTATCTGATGATGTAAGAGAAGATGGTTAATGTGCACGTAAAACAACAAATTGCACGTGCACATGTTAGACTGAAATGCACATTGCACGTGCATGTAAACACTCAACTGAGAAGAGAAAAGTACCGTAATTGGAACCACGCAGGGCCTCTTATGTATACATTAGTAAGAGAGCTGGTACAATACCCTATAATCACTGAGTAAAGCAGCCCCCTGTAATTCCTCTCACTAACCAATCAGAGGGCTGTATTCCTGTCACGTGACACAAACCAACCAATCAGAGCGATTCAGGCCCCCTCACTGCACTTCCGTTATGATGGTCCTTTATTAAAGCTTGTTGTATGTTGTGTAGGACCCCCACTAAGGAACGGTACTTGGTAGCTTACTGTTTTCAGCAGTGGCTTACTGTTTTCAGCAGTGGCTTGTTTGTTATATTTATTAGTGATGCTATTATCCTCACATTCAATTTGCTAGCATTATATCAGGTATAATGTTTATCTTTACATTCACCGAGATTAGTAGAAATAAGTAATATAAGCATATAACAACATTTATTTAGAACATAACAAATTACAAACTTTATTTAGAAAATAACAAATTACAAACTTTATTTAGCAAATAACAAATTACAAACTTTATTTAGCAAATAACAAATTACAAACTTTATTTAGCAAATAACAAATTACAGACTTTGTTTCCCCTTTGTAACTTCGTGTGATGTGCTACGAAAGTGCTCAAGGATTAGTAGGTCCACTCGAACTTGATTTAACTATAACTGCAGTTCAACAGTTCACCAGTTCAACAGTTCAACAGTTCACCAGTTCAACAGTTCCGCTTGTAGGTTTGATACGCTCGCAAGTGATTTGTGTTTTCCTACTTATTTGACACTGACATTAACTGAACAGCTCACAGCTAAGCAGGGATAATGAGCAAGACTGGGCTTGCTGCTGACCGATACAAATATCTCCACAGTTAACTTCATGTCTTACTCTCACACAAAGCAACGTTTGCAATTCGTAGATTTGTAGATTTAGTTAAAATGGGCTACTATTATCTAGGCAGGAGACAAAGCTTTGGGACAGAGATCTTTATTGTTGCCAAACACAAACCATTATGAAAGGGTGGCATATTCCTTGTAAGTATGTACCCGGTTTGTCACCTTAACTAATAGGAAAATAAGGTTCTCTAATCTCTCCTCCCGCGAGAATAGTAACCTTCATAACTAAATCCATTTGACGGCACACTGCTCAATACTTTACATTTTCCAAGTTACAAGTAATACTTAATCCATTATGATATAATAAAGATTACATGAGTATAATGAAGATTAAACTTCATGTAACTGAACTTTCTAGTGCACTTGTCGTGCAGTTGTCATGATGGCCAATTTAGAAGAGCTCATTCAGCTGAACACAAACAAGCATTGGATTATCCCGCTCCTCCAACCCTGCTCAAGCTTTAAATTGAAGAGCAATAATTTAACTGGAGAGTGTTGTTGATGTTGTGTGTGTTGTTGAACGTTGCTACTTTTAAATATTGCTGCTTATGTAAAAACGCATGTGAAACGTGCGTGCGTTAACGTTAATATATTAATGTTTTTAAAAAAGCTAGATTGTACTATATATAGTACAATCTAGCTTTTTTAAACACATTTAATAGCTCAAAGAAACTGTTTATACTTGCAAACCTTCTCTTGAGATATTATGTTGTTCATATGTTCAGGGATAAGGAGATAAAGTCTGTTAGTCCTGGCACAGGTGGTGATGGAAGTTCAAAACAATTCAATTCTATAACAGTCAGTCTATTGAAACCTGGTCGATATGTTATAGGCTATATAAGGGCTACTAGTATTCATCCGTGGGTAATATTTCAGTATTAAAACACTGGACCATAATGTTAAAAAATACAGACCCAATCTGAAATAGAAGTTATCACACATTACATGAGCAGTATGTAGGTAGCTAGTAGGTCAGAAAGTGGTTATTTAGCGGGGGTCAAATAACCTTCTTCAGTACGTAACGAGATATTGAGATAAACAAGTTGTCATGCCATTTGATCGTGTAGTTAGTAACTACCTGCTACCCTACAATAGTCCGTACCTTGTCTGTACAGTGCCTAACTAGTGTAGAAGTCTGATTAGCACACTATAGTGAGGCTGTCGCTGTTATTTTAACAAGCTTTCAGATCTAGTTCAGTTCAAGTCACACTTACTCTCTGTTTCTATTTATATTTATACAGCACTTAAAACGTGGGAAATTTGATTTTAAAATTTAGAATCACTACTGATTTACAAAAGATGCCTTCGATCGATAACTGATAATAAATCGTTTGGTAACAGTAGGATAAAATTTAAATTACAGATTAATTATTATAACATAAATTATAACTTATAAGAGAAGGCTATGACAGGAGCGCTGTCCCAATACTCCTCACTTCTTCACTCTCCTCACAACAAGAGGAAATCTTACTCTAGTACGAACAAGGTAAAATATATTGTTCATTAATGATATCGTAAACTAATACTGTAAACTGATACCCATTACCCAAGTTTAAATTTAATTAACAGTCAACTTAAGTCTAAAGCAGCGAATTACACGTTTAGATACACGTTTAGTTAGCAAACTGTTAAACTATGTTATGAAGGGGTTTCCAGGGTTACAAATCACAATGAATGAGTTGCCAGGACAATAAACCATCAAACTGAAACTTTTATGAAGGTGTTTCCAGGGTAACAAACTGTAATGCCAGGATTTTAAAGACAACAAGTTTTAGCTTTTTAAATGAGTGATGTTCTGGAAACATATGAGAAGTTGCTGTTTCAAAAGGTTTCAAATAGACGGTTAAACAATAAACATGGATTATCTGGCGGCTTATCACTTACTAGGGTAACAAATATCCCATAATAATGTAGGGGTTGCCATCCGCCAACATTAACAGGTAAACAATAAACATGGATTATCTGGCGGCTTATCACTTACTAGGGTAACAAATATCCCATAATAATGTAGGGGTTGCCATCCGCCAACATTAACAGGTAACACAGCAAATTTCTGAACACTAAACAGATAAGGACCAGAACTAAGGACCTTGCTGTCTTAAACAACGTGAATAACCCATAAAAATACAGAGAACTGTTTTAAACACACTATTCTGCCAATACCGAGTTTATTTGCCGTTCTCACCTCCTCCTCCTTTGTCCTCACCTTCCCCTCCTCAGACTCACAAGTCTCCGAAAAGCGGCAGCAGTAAAACGAGTAAGAAGCCCCGAGACCTTAGTCCACAGAAATGTAGTGCAGTTAAGAAGCTGGACCTTGCTACACCTGCTAGCAAACTGGACCTGAAGTCTCCAAGATACTTTACCAGTCCAGAGAACGAGGAGATAGATTACACTAAACACAGGTAGTTAATAACAGCAACAATCATACTGATTCGGCTGAAAACAACATCGTTAAGATGTTCAGAACCACATTTAACTGAGCCTTTCTTGGTTATGTTAATCCTATAACAAATTTCTGATTTATAAGTAATATTAATAATTGCAGGGATAAACCTTACTGTTCCCCCATTAAAGAGACCGCGTCAACCGTCCAACGTCAGGCTGCTATTAAAGAGATGATAGAAGAACGCAGAGCCAACTCTCCTGACAAACCTTCTAAAATGAAGGAGCGGGCTGGGTCTCCTAGTCCTAAAATGAAGGAGCGGGCTGAACACGTGTCTTCTAAAGCAAAGGAGAAGGAGCGCACAAGGGAGAACGTATGGGAAGCTAGGAGGAATGAAGCACTGCTGGATGCTAGTAATATTGAGAGGGGGATTCTCAAGGATATACTGTTTAGCGAGACTACAAAGAAAGCTTGCGGAGGAGATAGCTCAATAACAAGAAGCGGTCCTGTCTACAAGGAGATCCTCTCTCCCAGACCAGTCTCACCCCGACCTCAGCTCAATGATCTGACGCTCCCAGATTCGGAGGTGGAAAACAACTCTCCCAGGGATATGAGGAAGGAGAAAAGAGATATGAGACAGGACATGAGGGACAGGTGTGTAACTCCAGAGAAAAGGGACATGTCTTCCTCTTACAAAGAGGACGACTTCAGGTCTCCAGTACACGGGGGAAGAGAAGACAAGAGCATTAACACTTCCCCGGTCAGATGGGACACCCCTCCTGCGCGGCGCGACCCCACCCCACGTGCATCCCCTTCCAGACCGCGCTCTCCCAAGAAATTATCTCAGAAGAAGAGAAATAGTGAGGATACTCTAGATACGATCTCAGACTTGGAGAGCAGATACTGTGAACCAGATATGGTTTTCAGACCAGGGAGTCCTAAGAAAGTGTCGTTTAGTGAGGACACGGCGGATAGGAACCTAAAGATTCACAGACTTGAACGAGACGTGCAGTCTAGGGTCAGTTTTAAATGCTAGGGTGCAAATGGGGTGGGTTTATTGCTAAGGGGGGGCGGGGGGGGGGGGGGGGGGGAGGGGGGGCAGTTTATTTTCAAATCTTTCTGCCTTATTAACTGATACATCGAGTATCATCTGACATTGGAAATGTAAAGCAATCTATGTGCAAAATAACTACTGTGAAAATTGTAGAACCTCAAAAAACATCAGTTTTCATTGATATCTGTGGAGCATCTCATAATATTGTAACCACATCTTACAATACTCCCACTACGTCTACAGGATCTAGAATTATTGGACATGAAGCAGCTCTGCCACCAGTTCAAACAGAGACTGGGTGAATCTGAGACACTCCGGATAGCTCTGGAGAGTGATAAACTGAGACTATCCCTACAAAACATTACCCATTCTCCACGAACCCCGGCTTACAATGTTGAACCCTTAGTTACACCCATTATATCCTCTACTCCTGCACACGTGACGTCATCACAACACCACGTGACGTCAACACAACACCACGCGACGTCATCACATCACGCAGACCACGCTGTACAAGAGCAGTCAGTTCCAACCCAACCTAATGTATCTGGGTATCCTGACAGAAAGGTTCACATGGGTGTTAACCTGACTAACGCTTGTAACGATATCTCCGAGGTTTGAGCAACATTTTGTACAAAATGCAAGGTTGTTAAATACGTATTAGGAGGGAATACGTATTGGAATACGAATACGTATTCCTCCTCGAAAATTGACGTATTACGATTCAGGGACGTAGCCAGAATTTTTCTTCGAGGGGGGCTGTCGGCGAGCGAAGCGAGCCGACGTGTCCAATGCAGCTGCGCAGCGAGCGAAGCGAGCAAGGGGGGCTAGGGGGGCGCAGCCCCCCGGAAAACTTTTGCGAAACAGGGTGTTTTAGACGACATTTGGCATTAAAGAAATTTGTAGGACCGCAATAAACTGGGATTGAAAAGAATCAAGTACTCACGTAAATTTGGTAACTTCACAAATGCAATCTGCATTTTCCAGACAGAATTTACGACTTACTCAGGCCTCATCGTCTTAAGATTTTTACATTTCCTACGGTCTAGGGGACACTATTGACTATTTATAGAAGTCTTCTAGAATCTTAGAATGTTTGCTTGGATGTTATGACAGATATTTACTAATCCACAGTTCAAATCTTTGACTGACTGCAGTCATAAACACAGCCCAGTTACCAGGCGACCATGGGGACTAGGGGGCTTATCTTTTTTCTGGGGTTCGATTTTTTCCGGGGGGGCTGCCGCCCCCTAGCCCCCCCCCCCCTGTCTACGTGCCTGTTACGATTATCCATGAAATTTGATTACAAATTTAAGTTATCATGTATAACTGCACTCCTTTAATGCATGATCAATGATTAGGGTGGCGCGCGCGCAGCTGTAATGTTTAATTTTGACAAATCAGCGTATTACGGCGTATTATGGCGTATTCGTGGACGTATTTAACAATCCATAGAAATTACCGTATTCCGGCGTATTACGACGTATTCTTTATTAGAACCGAATACGTCGTATTCTTTCACGAAAATTTGACGTATTTAACAACATTGACAAAATGTTCTGTTAAATAGCAAATTGTTAGGAGTTTCTTGGATCATTTGATATACAGGTTTTGTATTTGTCCGCTTGGAAGATACGTGTTAAAAATGACAGCGATACTCATTATTCAGAGTTTAAAAATATTTTGTTACCATGGCAACAGCCCCACTTACTCCAGGTTAACACGATGATCCACGCAATGAAGCTGGAGAACGATGCACTGAAAGCAGGACTAAAGGAAGCAAGCATCACGACCCAGCAGCAAACCGCACTACTTGAGGATAGGTAAGCAATCATCAGCTGCACGAAGGAATGATCTGTGGCAACAAGAAAATGCTTTAAAATATAATGTACGTGACAGGACAAAATACAGTTGACTATTACAGTCGCTGCTACCAGCTACACAGCAGGCCAATTATATGTTTAATTGGTAATTAGGTAATGAGGGAAATTCCCAGACTGCAAAGTATGGAGAAAGAGAAGGATAGGATAGCGGAGGAGAACAGGCGTTATCAGCGACTAATAGCACAGGATGATAAGGGTAGGAACATTGTTAGCATTATAACATTAACTTTTTAACATTAACCTTTTATTTAAAGAATAAGGTTATTGCTCCGGCCCAGCAGATAGATATTACACGTGACTTGTACCCCCTATTTTGATAAAATGCAAAGGATTGACGGGAATTAACCCACATACCAACACTCAACAGGAGTAGTCGTGGCCAGGGTACCCTCCCAACAGTCACATAGCTTAAGAGGCACGCGAGGTGACGTCATTAAAACACGTGACGTCATTAAAACACGTGACGTCATTAAAACACGTGACGTCATTAAGACACGTGACGTCACCAAGTTAACTGACATCACCAAGTCACGTGAAAATAGGCACAAAAAGTCCATCAGATCCCGTTACAACAGACAATCACGGACTAAATGTAGGGGAAATGTTCGTGAGCTGAATTGTGGCTGCCTTCAAAGCACACTAGTACACTTTCTGATTACTACCATCGCCACCTTATTTAATTTCAACTTGAAAAATAAAGAGACCACAATCAATATATAAACTTGTAATGAATGTGTTGAGAAATAAAAGTCACGGTCCCTTATTATAGTTGGGCTTCGGGGATCGTATAAACCTAAGTAAATAGTCTTTAAACTTGAATAATAAAACTTACACGTTGCTGCCGGTTGCGCTTATGTTTCACATAGCTAGGATAGTATACTTGTTAGCATTTTCTTTAGCAAATAAAATTAATTGTTTGTTTAACTAATTTTCGGATTAATAAGGTTTTAAAACAATGTAGGAATAAATTTGTGTTTAAAATGTTTCAAGTCGAATTTAATTTAAATTAATTCAATTATATCAAATTCTTAAATGAGCTATTATCTACAGGGAGCAGAATAGCGATGTTGCAAAGAGATTTACAAAACCAGATGTCGGAGAATGAAAAGCTCAAACACCATTTACAAAGCCTAAGAGAGAATTACACCAAGTTTTTTGGAGCCAGCATCTGAGACGTGACGTCATCAAAATACGACGTGACGTCATTAAAACACGTCATCGTCAAGTCTTTTGAAGGAATCAATGAAACACGATGTGGACAGAAAATCACACAATTCATTATTACTTACTAACATTGTTATTTACAGACATCGGAAGTTGAATTTGTAATTTGATAATTAATGTATATAAGGTATTTGAAAATTTAATTTTACAAACGCTTTTGTTGCGAATAAAAATGATTTAACATTAAATAATAATACATCAGACTACCAATTAGGCCTAAACATAAAATGCCGATTGAAATTATATCTGTATAAATTGAACATTCTGTGGATAGTACATAATTTTAAACATGCGCTTCAGTATTAGACATAAATCGTGCTTAAATTTCTACTATTATAATACAGCCATGTGTTTTATATTCAGTTGCATGCTCGATATAAAACTGATTTTCATTCAACAAAAATACAATAAAAACTACAAATGCAATTACAGTTTAGTGCCCACGCTTGCAATAAAGCCATAAAATAGCTTTTAATCGCGTCGATCCAGTTTCGTACAAACAACATTCCACACCGCATGCATAAAACGCATGCAAATGTAATCGTCCTGACCACCCCAAATATCTTAAATATTCAAAAATATTAAAATATGCATATTCGAAATTATAATCAAAACAAATAACCCTTATCAATCAAGAAATCACTGGGAATATCATAAGGAATATCACCTAAAATATCACTAAATATTACTAATATTAGTACTTCATAATTTTCCTTCCAAGTAAAAAACGGAAGGAAGAAAATGTTAACCTATTATTAAACGGCTGATCCTAGCAGAATTATTTTTCTTTCTTAAAAACCAATAAGTTCTGGTGAATAAACCCTCCAAGACGTTTAACATCCCTCCCCAGATATTTGATATAAAAACCTTTTAACCCGATAAATATCTTTAAAAAAATAATCTGCATTGACGAGTCCAGCTCTGTCCTCTGTCATGTCATAACGAAACCACGTGACGTCATCACAACACAGCGTGACGTCATTGCAACACCACTAGTGATCCAGAATTCTCAAGTTTCCACTGACGATCTTGTTCTCCAGCAGTGAGTTAGAAGGAATATCTATCCGTTCTCCATGGTTAGCGATAATAATCACAGTTCCTCTCAGAGACACATCCCTCCCAAAGTGAACATCTCCAGTCACTGTCAAGTGATCTAATTCCAACAAGTCGGGGATTGTCTGGAACCTGCGAGTTTGTTTCTTGAAATTATATGTTTATCTTGAACATTTCCACCCAAAAACAGTACCACAATATTTAGGGAAAACAACCACACACTGACTTGTAGCCCCGAACTAAGAATGTGCAAGGGCCCGAAATTAAATATTTTAGTATCGTTGTTACCTCTTGAGGAAGTCCTGGATCCGTTTAAAGTCAGGTCCTAGTTTAATAAGAGGAGTGGAAGGGAACATGCGGTCAGGACTCATAGCTATTACGCCCTCTTCTAATGAGTAGAGGTTACTCATCACCAATAGCAGGTCTGGGGAGGGGATATATTTAGGAGAACATTATGTATTGTAACCTTATTATGGGCTAATTATCTAATTAAGTAATTATCTAAATTGGATTTAAGGCTGAAAAGTAAAAACTTAATTTTGAATAACAGAATTGTGGTCAGGTGGGGTAAAACTAGATATCAGTAATCTCAGAACATCACGTGACGTCATCCCAATACAACGTGACGTCATCCCATTACAACGTGACGTCATCCCATCACAACGTGATGTCATCCCATTACAACGTGACGTCATCCCATCACAACGTGACGTCATCCCATTACAACGTGACGTCATCCCATCACAACGTGACGTCATTATTGCAACGTGACATTATCATAGCAACGTACCAGAAGTGTGTTTGACGGGAAGAAAGCGAGAGCGAGGCACGTTGATCGCAAATGCACCAGAAAAGTTCTTAATCGCTGCTCCTACTGCCGTCTCCAGCTGAATTACGTTCCTGCCTGAGTTAAAGTTAGCTAGAAAACGTTAGTAAAATTGCTAGGATACGTTAGTAACATAGGTTATATAATGTACATACGTGTACGTTTATACTAATATATACTTCGCGCCGCGCTGCTACCCATTCTTTAACAAAGAGTTTTCCTCAGGTCCCACATCAGCTGGCACTATATCCAACATTCACTAAATCAATAGTGTGATTGATTTCAACTCACAACATATATCACGTGTGTGCGAGAGATATTATGTCGGAGATATCACTAGATATTTCAGATCCTGATGATACCATTGAAACGGCACCTCTATTAAACTATACTAACGGCGTGGTTTCTTTAAGCTAACTTATAATGTAGAACAAGTTAAAGTAGATATCCTGGATCGTGAGCAGGTTATTCATTCTAATTATTATCTTGGCTGCTGATAGGGGAATCTCAAGGCCAACGACAACTTTAAATAACTAATTGTATCATTACATTATGTGGCCATGGCGGGTTGATAGTTTGAAGTCCGCTAACCATTCGCTTTTCGAGTTATTGAGCTCTATTAGGTTGCGATTTTGTAAAATTGCGTATCTTGAGCTGTGACAGGGGTTTTGAGCTCAACATCCCGATCCAGCAAGCTGTTATGTATTATGTAATTGTAATGCCCATTGATTTGTGATGCAGCATCTTTTGTAGTTTTTAGACCATACATATTGCCCAGATGTATGTATCTATGCTATAATTTATAATCTATTTAAAGTTTTTATATTATACACTATACATGTTAGCTGATGGAGTCAACAAAGCGGACTGTAGAAACAGCAGAAGACGAGTTGAGCCCTGACTCAGAAATATCAGAAGAGGAGTTAAGCTCAATTTTAGAAACAGCAGAAAAAGAGTTGAATTCTATTTTAGAAAAATCAGAAGAGGAGCTATACATTCACATTCTTATCTTGGCTGCGAAAGGGGAATGTCAAGGCCAACGACAACTTTAAATAACTAATTTTATCATTACATTACACGCAGCGTTGATAGTTTGAAGTCCGTTAATTATTCGCTATTCGAGTTATTGAGCTTTATTAACGTTAATTTGCGATTTTGTAAAATTGTGTATTATTCAGTACAAATAAGTTATTTTGATCATTTGTAAGCTTTTATTTATGTCGCAACTCTTCTGTCAGATTAAGCCAGCACATTTTTTACTTCATATTATATACTCAACTTCTTGAATTCTAGTAGCTTGAAGCCTGTCATTGCCATCGCGCCTTGGTGAAAATTAGTTTTTTTCATTTTTCTCAAATACTGATTCCCTAAAGGCTTCAGTACCTTCATAGTGCTAATATAAATATGCATATTGCGGTCTTTTTAAGCCCAAGTTTAAGTCTCTAAGCCCTTTAGAAGCTGAGATGCGAATTTTCCACATACGCGTCTTATATGAAATATGGGCGTGGCTCCACAGGGTTGGGACTAGCGACACAAAATTCCCCCCTCGGTGATTTGAGTTACCAATGACCTATTTAACCCGATTCAGTAGCAAAAATCTCTATACAGCGAAGTGCACACTCAACACCTCCCTGCTACTGGAATATATCTTGAGTTTTGAGCTCGATTTGCGATGGAGCATCTGTTTTTAGACCACACATATTGCCCAGATATATCTATAACTGTATATAGTTTATATTACCAACCAAAATGGAGAAACCTTCATATATATTGAAAACTGTTCATAGGGCTGCCAAAAACATCTTTTATCTCTCATACTAATGTTTGTTTGTTTGTTAGTTTGTGGGGCACCCACTTTACCTAAATATGAAGGCTCTATCCATTTTTATAGGTAATTTGGTGTTAGAACATTAGTATGTTCTAGCAACATATTCTAGCAATATATTAATGACAAAGTAAATAACAAATTAAATATTCATACAGTGCAATTATAGTATAATAATATATGTAATAGGATATAATGATTGTTTTGCTCGTTGCATAGTCTAAGTTTTGGTTGATGTAATAATGCACTTTGTATCTGTGCAATATATGAGGCAAGGAAAATGCCGTACTAATACTCCTTGGATATGATTTGATTTACTGATTGCTCATTTGATTAGGATCGTAATTAAAGTGAAATTGGCAGCTAAGGCCGGGAACTTTCACTGGCTTGTTTCCCTTGTGTGTTATTTCTTATCCGATGTGAGTTGATTTACAGTTTTTATATTATACAGTATATATTTGTTAGCTGATGGAGTCGACAAAGTGGACTTTAGAGAAAGCAGAAGAAGAGTTGAGCTCTGTGGTGTTAGAAACAGCAGACGAAGAGTTGAGCTCTGAGTCAGAAAAAGCAGAAGAAGATTTGAGCTCTGAGTCAGAAAAAGCAGAAGAAGAGTTGAGCTCTGAGTCAGAAAAAGCAGAGGAATATTTGAGCTCTGTGCTAGAAACATCAGACGAAGAGTTGAGCTCTGCATCAAAACAAGCAGAAGTAGAGCTGAGCTCTGAGTCAGAAAAAGCAGAAGAAGATTTGAGCTTTGTGTTAGAAACAGCAGAAGAGTTGAGATTTGAGTTAGCAATATCAGAAGAAGAGTTGAGCTCTAATTCAAAACAAGCAGAAGAAGAGTTGAGCCCTGAGTCAGAAACAGCAGAAGAAGAATTGAGCTCTGAGTCAAAACAAGCAGAAGTAGAGTTGAGCTCTGTGCTAGAAACATCAGACGAAGAGTTGAGCTCTCTGTTTGAAACATCAGAAGAAGATTTGAGCTCTAAGTCAAAACAAGCAGAGGTAGAGCTGAACTCTGAGTCAGAAAAAGCAGAAGAAAATTTGAGCTCTGTGCTAGAAACATCAGACGAAGAGTTGAGCTCTCTGTTAGAAACATCAGAAGAAGAGTTGAGCTCGGTTTTAGAAACAGCGGAAGAAGCATTGGGTTCTGTGTTAGAAAAAGCAGAAGAAGAGTTGAACTCTGTGTTAGAAACATCAGAAGAATATTTTAGCTCTGCGTTAGAAACAACAGAAGAAGAGTTGAGCTCGGTTTTAGAAACAGAGGAAGAAGAGTTGAGCTCTGTGATAGAAACAGCAGAAGAGGATTCCAGTTCTGTACTAGAAACAGCCAAAGAAAAGATAATCTCTGTGATAGAAACTTCAGAAGAAGAGTTGAGCTCTGCGTTAGAAACAAAACAGGAAGAGTTGAGCTCTCTGTTAGAAACATCAGAAGAAGATTTGAGCTCTGAGTCAAAACAAGCAGAAGTAGAGCTGAGCTCTGAGTCAGAAAAAGCAGAAGAAAAGATAATCTCTGTGATAGAAACTGCAGAAGAAGAGTTGAGCTCTGCGTTCGAAACAAAACAGGAAGAGTTGAGCTCTGCGTTACTAACAGCAGAAGAGTTGATGCTCTCAGTGTTAGCAACAGCAGAAGAAGAAATAAGCCCTGAGTTAGAAACGCCAGAAGAAGAGTTGAGCTCCGTTCTGGACAGTATCACCACCACATTTAAACTGGACAGAGTAGAGGAGATAACACAATCATCTGTGTTGAGGAGTGACATTAACAAGGAAGTGTATGCAGACCTTCTTTACCGACTACTGGTGGCTAGAAAAAGAACCCGACTAGTGATCAGCTCTACTGCTGGCCAAATCAGCATTTTGAAACGTTGTGATGGGCAGCTCATAAAGGAAGAGGGGTTACCTAAAAGAACTGAGAGTGAGGTGAAGGTAAAAATGGTTAGGTTCTCTGCGAATATTGACTGTAAGACGAAGGTGAAAGAAGAGGGATTGCCTTCAATTACCGAGAGTAAGGTGAAAGTGAAATTAAAAGCTGCTCGTAAAACCTTGAAAAAAGAACTCAAAAGTTGGACGAAGACTGCCAAACAGGGCTGCACTAAAACGATTAACTCAAAAAAAGTGAGAGAAGTGAGAAAGGTGATAAGATCCTTCCTTCCGGAGAAGAAAAGCACAAAAAATCTCATCATTTTCGGGGCCGAAGAACTCGAATTTAATTGGGACAAGCCAAAGCGATTAGACAATATTGTTAATGAGGTTCTGCAAGAAACTTTCAATCCAGAAACTTCGCTTAAACCAGATATTATTACTTGCGATCGGGTGGGACAGGGTAAAAAGAACAAGCCAAGACCTATCAAAGTGAAAATGAACCTCTCAGAGACATTGTCGATTGTGTTGAGAAAATCAGAGGATGTCAATACTCACTGTGGTCCAGTCTCACTAGAGATGAAGCAGGTCTCTACACGTAATGGAGACGTTTATATTTACTGATTATAAGATTCACTTTGAAAGTTTAATATTTGTTTTGTGAAATTAGGGTTCTCGGCTGCAAGTCTGGAAAAGCTGTTGAATGCAGGAAATGATGTTTAATATATTTGAGTTCTAACGAACTATAGAAAGACCTTGAAGACTATAAGTTTGGATTTTTTAACCAAAATTATTACTGCTGTTTCGATAAAAATATGGTTTTTACTCCAGCTATGTCATGAAAATAGGTTTTTACTTTCAAGGTTAAAAATCAAATGATTGATAAATAAAGTGGGTGATATCATAATAATTACCATCACCCAGAGCTTTGTGATTGACAATTACATCCCTCTCCAAAGTCCCCTGTACCACTCTCTCCCTGATAGACTTCAGGTTGATCCACAGGTTATTTGTGTTGAATATCTTGAACTTCTTTACACACTTGAAGTCGTCCACATGCTCTTTGGGTACCTAACAAGGATTATTTAATCTCCTTTATTGTAGTAAAACGAACTGAAGAGTCGCTGTTAATTGACAGCTATAATAACTTAATGGATGTAAAGATAAGGCTCTGGATTGGTTGATTATATTAAACTTATTTAATAATCAAGAGTTTTTAAGAAGATAAGAATGTGCATTACCTGTGCGTATTCTAGCAGCTTTACACATCCGTTATAATCTATTAGTGTTCCACCTGAAGTTTGACACTAAAGTTATGTGGTAAAAACAGCAGTTTATAAATAGATAGCTGAAAGTGAAACTCACTGTATTCTGAATCATATAACATCGACTCTGCCGTTTTCTGACGAAAGCGCTTGAAACCCCCAGATGCCGCACAGTAATCAGAAAGTAGAAATACTATGCAGGAACTAGAGAAGTAGCAGAGCAATGATCTCTAGAGTTGTGTAGTTTATATGATAATACATATTATCTAACCTTTAACATCAGCTCGGGTCTTGTTGGTTACTTCCGCAATAAACTGAGACTGACAACCACTTTTTACAATATGACTCAGGATATCTGTAGTGTTATTTATCGTTAACTATTTTAATACACAATTAATAGGTAAAATTAAGAAATCATATCACAATCAGCAGTAAAATTCATTTCACAAAATCTTGATTGAGTCACTGCACTCCAGCATGGAACTATTATGTAACAATCAATCTTCAGCAATGGTGTAACGTCCAAATTCGGTTATGCCCCTTTTTGAAAGATAATACTCACTCAAATCAACGGTAGCACCCAAGTTGTCAATATTACTGATGAAGATGATTTCTTTTCCCATCTCAATAAGTTTATCAAGAACCCCAGAGTTGTAGAGACTTTCGTAAAGGTCACCGTGACCAGGTGGGTACCATCTGGGAGTGATTATAACGTTAACTAACACCGTGACCAGGTGGGTACCATCTGGGAGTGATTTTAACGTTAACTAACTAAAGGTCACCGTGACCAGGTGGGTACCATCTAGGAGTGATTATAAAGTTAACTAAAGGTCACCGTGACCAGGTGGGTACCATCTGGGAGTGATCATAACGTTAACTTATTATATTATATGTTAGTATAATAAACCAGTAACACATTCAACTTGATTGAATTGTCGTCTTGACTCATTCAGAATCTATATTGATTAGAAGCGTAAATCCAGAGTTTATGAATTAATCAATTAAATACAAATTTACTCCTCATGAATGGCTGAAATCACAGAATATGGCTTTATCAATTGTTTATCGATGTTTGTTATATACAATTGTTAGTAGAACAGTAGACTAATATTATACCCGTCATTGCCGTCGTCATTGTAGTCCTTTACAAATGGTAATAGAGTTTCACGGTCTATTCTGGGGTAATAACTTTGTAGATATGTCAACACCTCTACGTTGGATCCTGCGGGTGACAAAAAACTTATCAAAAGTACACTGTCGACCAATTTCGTGGCTTATCGAAAAAGAATAAAGTTCGTAGGCGGTAGCTCAGACGCACATTCAAATGGCACCCGACATCAATTTATCAGGATGATTACTGTTCAAAATGTTTAACAGTTGAATTCATGAACAATGTCGGTGGATCCTAATAGTGGTGCAAACGGTTTATTGACACAAATATGCGAGAGCGAATAAATTAAAAGAGATAAATTAGAAAAGGATAAATATAGCGCGTCGCGCGCGCAACCTGGCCGCGCCGGCCCGGCCGGATAATCACTTTTGATGCGCGAGCAAATTTGTATATCTCATATCGCGCGTTCCATTTTTCGAACAAATCAGCACTGCATGTCCCGAATAGTAAAACGGGTAACTATGCTATTGACACGGTGTACTATGGATACGTGGAACGGTACGACAAATTTCATTTTGCTACAGAAAGTTCCTCGGCACGACAAAGCACAAATTCTTGCCTCTGTGATACATATTTTCTATCAGAAATGAAAACTATCATAGCTAATGTCGGTCCACCCCATTAGTACGCTTGTTAAAGTCGATTAGATCCCAGCTTGACAAGGGATCGTGTGGTGCATTATTCATAATGTTGATAATAACAAGGATCATATGACGACATACAGTGCACTAATCACACTGTATATCGATTGGCGATATAGGGGTGTCGATATACAGTGTATGTCGATATACAGTGTGATTACCGAGAAATACCATCAATTATGACTTGTCAATTTCATACTCAACGTCAGCTAATACTTGTAATAGCGAGTATTGATAATATACTACTTATATCAGAGTTTACAAAATTGCCATATAGTGATTCAATATTTTCCTACCAAGTTAATTAACTAACGACTTTGTTTCAACATTGTAAACCACCCATCCTCTCAAGACACACTTAATTAGGTTTATTCTAATGGGACAGTGCTTTTTAAATTTAATCTAATAATCTAATTTGTAATCAAATGATTAAATGATAGATTCTAGATCCACACGCCATAGAGCAGTTATAACGATCATTCGATATCGGAGGAACTTTTATAGTACGCTAAATTTACCTTCATCTTTCTTTAGAGCATTTAAAACTAACCTTTACATTTCTTTAGAGCACGTGAAACTAACCTTTATATTTCTTAAGAGCATGACCAGTTTCACTGTCAGTGTTCAGAGAGTTCATCAACACTAGAGGCACACTAACTCCATAACTTTCGTTCAAATTCTGAAACATGTCAATTATACTTCTTCCAACGCACATGGCAGTATATCTTTAAACATCAAGCCTATCGCTTCATTATTCCATGTCTCGTACACTAATGACATTAAATACCCAGACTTCAGTGCCCGTTTCATGGGTCGATGTGATAATATGGTTATGAACTGTGATGCCAATTGAAGCTGCTTCCTTATGAGAAAGTCACCTCACTTTCGACAAACTTTCTACGATAACAGTTTTAACAGTTGGGAAAAAGTTGAAATTAGTTGCTACGAGACGTGAAGTTGTGTGGTAATACTGGATATCTTCTTATTTTTGGAGAATAGACGTGAACTCATGAGTAAATATTGAATATCTACTCGCTTTAGACATGTCTGTTCATTGTACAGTCATGTCTAAAAAAAGATCACAGCTTTTCAAAGTTTGTCATTCTGACTTCCACCACAGTGATTAGATTATGGCAACAAATCTAATCCTAATTTGTTCAACTTCGTAACCAAAACTTTTTAAAATTCTCACAATTTTTAGCCATGATTGTTGACAATGACTGATAGGTTTAACATTGGCGTTTAACTACTCAACTTCTGAAATTATGCCACGTAGCTTAGTTACGTGGCAAAATTTGTCAAAAAGTTCGAGAAAATCGCAAAAATTTGCCAAAAACCTTACCACGATATGTAATACTCCGAATTTCGAGCCCAAATTCTTCTCCTATAAAAAATTACTGTTTCCAATTTTTGAACCCCTGTGACTTAATGTTGACACACGCTTAAAGCGACAATTTGGTGACAGAAAAAGTTCTAATTTTACGAGCCCTTCAATTGCTTCATTGGTAACATATAAACTAATAGCTGCTGCGAAGCTAGAAATAAGTGTGTGTACCGATTCAATAGGGGAAACATAGTTTAAGAAGCTTAAAAAGATTCTTCACGTTAACCAGCCTATATTTTATGAAGTTATGGGAGCTTTGCACAGCTTCCATTTCAGATTTATGTGGTTAATTTATGGACACGTTCATTTGAGTTTGAGGATATTGGTAAATATAAGTGACCCTATTAAAAGGCACAGTGTAGTTGACTTTGTCACACTATGAAATTACACAAACCCTTGATGGTTAGGATAATCGTCTCATCCTCTAGGCTAACTTTGTCACATAACGATATCTTAATCAGGTGATAAGATATCGCTTAAATACGGCCGGCACGGAAATGGTTACATTGTCACACTATAAACATGTGACAGAGTAAATATGGACCCCTTGCTGCCGTTTTCGACCAAAATTTTGAGTGTCCAGTTGATTGGATGTGTACATATGACCATTACCTACATATTTGACGACTTTTTTCGTTAGATGGTGCACTCAGGTTTACTCTGTCACACATTTAAGAAAATATGTGAACAATGTTTAGGGAACCCTGATAAGCAATGCTGAGTAGTGTAGGTTTAGTTAATGGCCTGGAAGTGCTAGGAATTGTTATTATATCATATAGTCGCAAGGAATTAAAACACAGAAGGCACAGACAAGTTTACTTTGTCACATAATCTTGATGATATCTGAACATGTGTGAAATTGAACAAATAATGATATACCAGCTTAAACCCTTTGTATTACGTACTATGGATCAAACAACACTGCTAGTACCATGCACCAGTCACATAAATCATTAACGTGTGGTAATATGTTAACAGTGTCACAATTAAACTACCACAACATGGTCAAAAATAGGGTAATTTCGTCACAAAAAAATTATTATAACTCTGTCAGCTCCTTGCTGGCAAAATAACTAGTTAGTTTATCGAAATTTTTTTGATGATAAAATTACATAGTATTCTAATAGAGGTATAGATCTTCAAAATAGGGGCAAGACATGTTTACTTTGTCACATCAGTTATTATTACAGTTAGGTAATCGTCATCACATTAACATATATTTTTTTGTAGTTTGGATTGATTTATTTAGGTAATAAGCAGGTGATAAGGCAGCCTATGCTAATTTTTACACACTATCTTGAAATTGTTGGGGCAGGGAAAGTTAATTTTGTCACATTTTTAGTGATTTTGACAAATTTAACCTAAAATTGTTAAACTTGAGCTCTGATGTTCTGGACAATATTCTACCAATTTTTTCTGAAAGAATGTTAAATTCTAATAGAGTTATAGAATATATAGATCTTCAAAATAGGGGCAAGACATGTTTACTTTGTCACATCAGTTATTATAAGAGTTATTACTTATTATAAGAGACTATTTCATTATATAATCATTGTAACGATTTCGTATAATTTTTGTGACAATGTAAACATCAACTGATCTTAACTTGCATCAACTACATTGTCATCATGTAAAGTTTTCCCGCCTTTCAAACCAAAATCAGATATAAATAATTCGCCCAAAATTTTAAATTCCATATATTGTGACAGAATTAACCTCATTGTGCCTGTATTAGCTTACTATTCAAAGCAACATATTTTAGGGCTATGATTGGTACTCCGTACTTGGTAGATCAACCATCAAATAATGAGTAAAAAGGGTTTTGAGGACACCTCACAGTAGAATAGAGGTATGGTATTCTGAGTGTGACAAAGTTACCTAAATATTGCCTTGTAACCGTTCGATCCGTGCCCTTTAACCAATGTTGTATCATAATTGTTAGATTGACCTAATCTACTATGTTTCAGACCAAGGAATGATAATTAGACAACTGCAGTTAAATAAGTCACACAAAATGTGACATTTGAACCATTATAGTGCCTAACAACAATAGATTTTCTTTCTGAGCAGTGCATATGGGAGTATGGGTTACGCGGCTAATGTTCAGAACTTCTGAACGTGCTAGGTTAATAGATGTCAAAATTAAGCCACTATCGTCAAAAACGCTATTATTTTTGTTTACCAATATCCTCAAACTCAAATGAACGTGTCCTTATATTTTAAACCACAATAAATTATCACAATGCCACAAACCATTCTGTGAAATTTCATATTTAACAAGATATTGAAAATTTTAACCGCCTCTTAATCTTTATGTGTATGCCACTTCGGATCATCAAAAACGGCAAAAATTTTAGAATTACATATTTAAATTTATCAGTGAACAGAAGGTCGCAGCTAGGAGTTGAGCCACACTGCACCAGCCCATGGAAGTAAAACTCATGCTTACGTGGCGTTACACGCCTTGGAAAGCTAATAAAGGGGTATATTTGTATATAATATCTATATATAATATAGTAATTCAATCATGTACTGTAAAGCAATCAAGTAATAACATACCTTAATCGCGTTGATATGATTACAGCAACACTGAGTGTAACTTAGTAAAAACCTTAAATAGTGAAAGTAGGAAGCACCGTTACCTCTATTTGAGATATCGTTATGTCAAGGAAAGTGGATTCTTCTCGAACTCTGATTAGGGATTTTGGGCAGGCACTTCCCAGACCCATTCCTGTACCCAAACCTACAAAAACACGGTGTTACATCTTGATATAAAGTCTTTTGTTACATACATACTACATAGTGAGTTCATGCGCACAGCACATTCAACATCTTGCAATCCGCATCTTAAAGAATCGGAACAATATTTAAGAAACCACCGAATGCTAAAATGTTCAAAATTTTGTAGAAGTTCTCTAATAGACTGGAATACACTAGAACACCCAGTCGAGCGGTACAAGCTACAGGCTACAAGCCTGAAGACTCTAGCGGCTAGCAGTACAACACCCGGATATCACGTACCAACAAAATCTTATGCGCTTTTATGAGACCATTATTATAATCTGCAGTGGGTGCTTCTTGACCAAACAGTTATTTCTAATTGTACAGAAACAGTGGAGTACTAATAACTTCCTGTTTGGTAACTTTTATGGGAAACGATTGATTCTTGCTGCTTACATTTTAAACTTTTATTTCAGGTTGGATTGTGCGCCATTTTATTGCAATAAATGTCTTATCTAAGTGCTTGTAGAGTTTCTGCTGTTATCATAATATCCAAATATTCTCACCTTAATTTCAAATCAGTGGTTAACAAAATATCAGTAAATAACAGAGTAAATAAACAAATAAATAAATAAATAAATAAATAAATAAATAAATAAATAAATAAATAAATAAATAAATAAATAAATAAATAAATAAATAAATAAATAAATAAATAAATAAATAAATGAATAAATACGTAAATAAATAAATAAATAAATAGATAAATAAATAAATAAATAAATAAATAAATAAATAAATAAATAAATAAATAAATAAATAAATAAATAAATAAATAAATAAATAAATAAATAAATAAATAAATAAATAAATAAATAAATAAATAAATAAAGAACAAAGTAAATAACAACATGCAGTGTTTGATCAGGACGAGAAGATATGGACTATGAACAGTGAACATAAGAACATACACAATAGAATATAATAATATTAGATAGCCCGTGATCACAGGAAGGAGGAAGGTAATAGTATTCTTTGGTAGTCAGTTTTTATAGCATCAAAAAATATCCGTCACAACCGAGTAAACAGCCCATTAAAATGTAGCTCGCACTGAACACAACGTAATTACCACAAAACCGATCGAAATGAAGTTAAAACAATCATTGCACGTGCGTCGTGCACGTGCGTGTAACAACCCTCGTTGCCATGGTTACTATGCAAATTCCTATTCCTCGTCTAATTTGCACGTGTGCGGTCGTGCAAAAGGAATTCTTTGAATTATTATATAGATGTAATACCCGATCTCAGATGTGAGTTTACACCGAGCTACCAAACTGATAACAATTAAAGATATTACCATTAACACTACTTCTAATACCATTACATTGCTGTTTTATTTTTGTTTTATCAAAAAATTGTTGTTTTATTAAACAATCGTACATTAGTTGGATAAGTAAGATACATAGAATTAAATAGAATTAAAAGAAAAAGATAGTGTATCTAGCAGCAGGTTACCTTCATGATACTTATCAAAATCTCGCTCTGGAAAAGTTAAAATATGCTTTAATTTACCAAACAACATGTAATGTATATATTTTAATCTATCAAACCACAGATAAGAAAACCAGGAATTGCAATGGAATGTGCTTTGTTAGTGATGATGACATAAGTTAGTCCTCTTATTACCACCAAATCTCTTTTAACCCCAATAAATCCCTCAAATTCTGCCTAATCCCACCTAATTCCGTCTAAGCCACAAAACCTCACATAGCCCACCTAATTACAACTCCCCGCCCCTCCCCCGGCCCCCACCTAATTCCACCAAAGTGAGGATGATACATGTAACAACACCTTTAACTTACCTCCGTTTAGTTTGAGGACTACAAGTTTATCTAGTAGTTTGGAGATCCCTTCAGTATCATCTTCATCAACTTTCTTCAGCGAGGAGTAGCCCTGCAAGACATATAATGTACATATAATTCAGCCCTGGGTGAAGTACCCTATAAAATAATCAGATAACTAGTTACGTAAGTTTTCTAAAATACCAAGTTTTTCTGGCTTGTTTTATCCCGTACAGCATGAACAATTTCCATCGAATAATCTAGATCATTTATAACTAGATCTGATAGAATATACTAGAATGTCAAGAGTAGCCTAGAAAGTAGAATACCATGGAACTTAAAGAATACCGTCGAGCTAAATTCTACTCAGCAATGCAAAATATGTAATATTTATATATCTATTATCTATATTATACATAGCGGAGTATAATTTGGTTCTATGGTATTCTTGAAGTTCTAGTCTATTCGTGACTATCCCATTCCACCTTTCTCTTACAGTTTATGCTATATTATTAAAATATTAAGATACATTTGGTTCAATGGAATTCCTTAATTTCAAGTTTATTCTATTCCAAGTAACCCTACCCTTACTTATGCTATCTTTGCGATTTAAATATTAAAAGCTATTAAAATTGATTGGATTACATTGCTATCTGACATTTGATTCCTATAGCTATTATCTCTATGTACACTGTACAGTAAATCCCCTATTAACCGCGGAGTTAGGGGGTTTAATTATTTCATATTATGTAAGTAAAACCCTTATTGTGGGGAAAAGTGCCGCGGTAAATGGGAGACCGCAGTAAACCGGGGTTTTACTGTACTTTATAACATTTATTTTACTGTACTTTATAATATTTATAACATGGATGGCCACTTCATAAAAGTGTTGCAACGTAATAATATAATGACCGGTATAGTAGTAATGAGCTATTTTACTCCAGGTTACACGTTTACACTGGTTACCAACTCTATTATTATCTACAACACGTAACACAATACATGTTACACGTAACACAATAACCTTTGTATTGGATATCACACCAAATGGTGGCAATGTGTTAATTTGATATTATGGAAAACAACGTTTTTATTAAATGGTCGCTATAATAGAACACTGTGTTTTATTGTAATAACTGTGTTCTTCATATGGTTTGCAATCTTCAAAGGAATTCGCAGTAAATATGTTGAAATACCTCACAACACACAATGGGAGATTGTGTGATTAATCAATCAATTAATTTATGACTCGACCTAATGTTTAATTATATCTAACAAGAGCCTAGAGTAGTTCATTGAAAATCTGCGAAATTAAAACACAAAAGTAAAAGGTAACGAGACTGAAGTTGTCAGAGAGCCGAGCGAAGTAAGACTACCACTAACAAAACACTGCTCGTAAATCAACACAGGGTACTAGGAAGAAATTATAATATTATAAGCTCTAGACACCATTCTACTGGAGACAGGTTAGAAGCTAAATTATACCCTTATTCGTGAAGGAGCAGTGATTTAATATGAGTCACTGAAATGTAAGCTCGTCCTATAGTCGGACACAAATTAAGGTATCACAAATTCAGCTTGAAAATATACGGCACGTTCAGCAGTAGGCCACAAGTCAGACACTATAAGGCACGTTCAGCAGTAGGCCACAAGTAAATATGCGGCACGTTCAGCAGTAGGCCACAAGTCAGACACTATACGGCACGTTCAGCAGTAGGCCACAAGTAAATATGCGGCACGTTCAGCAGTAGGCTACAAGTCAGACACTGACGAATACAAGGAGGTCAGATCAGATTAGGAATTGGGTGACTTGAGCATACTTTTCTCATTTTACCCGGTCCCTTTAGACGGCACAGACAGACATATTCGAATTTAACAGCCTCGAACACAATAAACCGAACAAAACACTGCTCCTTCATAAAATATAACGTATATCGCACTACCTTTCATGGGCAGTGGTCGAGTGAAATTCAGGTAGGGTAGAATATGTCAACACCTCTATGTGGGTTATACACTGCGTATATATGTTAGAAATGTCTATTTTAGAAGATGGAGAATAAGTAGAAAGTGAGGAATGCTTCAGATATTGTTGACACATATTATCACTGCAACGCCGTGTGCTGAGAGGGGGGTATTGTGAGATTGTTGAGCTGGAAACAACGTTATAATGCCATCTGGATCACAGGTATGGAGGTTGTTCAGTCAGTAATCCGAGCGAACGTAAGACTATAATTTTAAAAGCTACATACGTATGCTAAGGTATGCGAGTAATTTATCTGGAGCCACGTGCTAAACACATGAGGTGTAGTGTGTTGCCATAGTAACGTGTTGGCATGGTTACTGTTGTACATTGTAACATGTATTCTGAATATTATAATATTATACCTGTAACATTGATTCAGGAAGTGGCCTGATCTTATCCCAGATCAGTTCATCTGAAATACCACCCCGCCATTTCCCGTACAGTCTGTAGAAATTATCTAGTTCTCGAGAGACGTTCTGAAAATAACCGCAATGTTAATGATGTGCCCAGTTTGATGTAATCATCATTCCGGATAGGAATATCGCACGATCCAAATTAGTTATATCGACAGTTCTATATCTCCAAGATACTGTGAAGGTTGACAGTACAGCGGAAGTTTCCTAAAAAGGTGGACTGTACGCCGGAATTACATTAAAATTACATTACTATCGACACTACAGTACTGTGGAACCAGACAGCGTACCAAAAGTAAAACTGGGGATGTCATCACCAGTTACTATTTATTTTATGCACTAGCATTATAAAGAACATGGATTAAATTGATAAGGAGATAAGTAGTCAGATAATATAAGTTGTACTGTAAATTTGGTAACATGAGTTTTCTATTGGTACGGTGTTTAGGCTTAAGTGTCCAGTTTTGAAAACGTACATTTTGTCGAGTCAATGTCTACTGTCAATATACAGCAGTTCACTTTACTTGTGTTAAACAATTCTACTGTCCTTAAGTTGGCGCTGATAGGTGAACAACTTTATATTTAATTTTACGTTCTATGGAAGGTTCTAGAAGAATCATCTGAGTAGGTAGTATTCAAATACTACCTACTCAAATGATTTAACCGTTCTGTAGTGTAGATAGTAATGTACTTATGGAATGTAATTCCGCCTTATTGTCCACCTTTTTAGGAATATTCCACCCTGCTTCACCGCTTTGTCTGGTCAACCCAAAAGTAATGTATAATGTAATATGATGACAAACAATGATCGCAGGATGCTGTTATTGTACAGAGCGGTTTGGTACAGCGTTATCAAGATATATAATTATATAATTTAGCAGTACTGTAGCTCTAGACAAGCTCTATTTCTACAGAGTATTATTACCATATTAAATAAGAATTAACAAACCTCTTGTTTTTCTAGAGGAGTTTTGTTAGTAATTTCCTTCAACCGCTCTTTCAATATTGACATGATCTCCTCCTCAGCGGCCATTGAAATGGTCCTGTCTCGCTCTTTCGCTGGTACTGGCGTCATCCTTAAACAGTTCCTTTATTATTGAAGTTAACACAAAAGAGTGAAATATGGACAAAATTAACCGCTTATATTTACAAGTTCAACACAATTCAGGGTGGAGTATCTACACTAGTTGAACACAATTCAGGGTGGAGTATCTACACTAGTTGAACACAATTCAGGGTGCAGTATCTACACTAGTTCAACACAATTCAGGGTGGAGTATCTACACTAGTTGAACACAATTCAGGGTGGAGTATCTACACTAGTTCAACACAATTCAGGGTGGAGTATCTACACTAGTTCAACACAATTCAGGGTGGAGTATCTACACTAGTTCAACACAATTCAGGGTGGAGTATCTACACTAGTTCAACACAATTCAGGGTGCAGTATCTACACTAGTTCAACACAATTCAGGGTGGAGTATCTACACTAGTTGAACACAATTCAGGGTGGAGTATCTACACTAGTTGAACACAATTCAGGGTGGAGTATCTACACTAGTTCAACACAATTCAGGGTGGAGTATCTACACTAGTTCAACACAATTCAGGGTGGAGTATCTACACTAGTTCAACACAATTCAGGGTGGAGTATCTACACTAGTTGAACACAATTCAGGGTGGAGTATCTACACTAGTTCAACACAATTCAGGGTGGAGTATCTACACTAGTTCAACACAATTCAGGGTGGAGTATCTACACTAGTTGAACACAATTCAGGGTGGAGTATCTACACTAGTTGAACACAATTCAGGGTGGAGTATCTACACTAGTTGAACACAATTCAGGGTGGAGTATCTACACTAGTTGAACACAATTCAGGGTGGAGTATCTACACTAGTTCAACACAATTCAGGGTGGAGTATCTACACTAGTTGAACACAATTCAGGGTGGAGTATCTACACTAGTTAAACACAATTCAGGGTGGAGTATCTACACTAGTTGAACACAATTCAGGGTGGAGTATCTACACTAGTTGAACACAATTCAGGGTGGAGTATCTACACTAGTTGAACACAATTCAGGGTGGAGTATCTACACTAGTTGAACACAATTCAGGGTGGAGTATCTACACTAGTTCAACACAATTCAGGGTGGAGTATCTACACTAGTTGAACACAATTCAGGGTGGAGTATCTACACTAGTTGAACACAATTCAGGGTGGAGTATCTACACTAGTTGAACACAATTCAGGGTGGAGTATCTACACTAGTTGAACACAATTCAGGGTGGAGTATCTACACTAGTTGAACACAATTCAGGGTGGAGTATCTACACTAGTTGAACACAATTCAGGGTGGAGTATCTACACTAGTTCAACACAATTCAGGGTGGAGTATCTACACTAGTTGAACACAATTCAGGGTGGAGTATCTACACTAGTTGAACACAATTCAGGGTGGAGTATCTACACTAGTTGAACACAATTCAGGGTGGAGTATCTACACTAGTTCAACACAATTCAGGGTGGAGTATCTACACTAGTTCAACACAATTCAGGGTGGAGTATCTACACTAGTTCAACACAATTCAGGGTGGAGTATCTACACTAGTTCAACACAATTCAGGGTGGAGTATCTACACTAGTTCAACACAATTCAGGGTGGAGTATCTACACTAGTTCAACACAATTCAGGGTGGAGTATCTACACTAGTTGAACACAATTCAGGGTGGAGTATCTACACTAGTTCAACACAATTCAGGGTGGAGTATCTACACTAGTTCAACACAATTCAGGGTGGAGTATCTACACTAGTTCAACACAATTCAGGGTGGAGTATCTACACTAGTTGAACACAATTCAGGGTGGAGTATCTACACTAGTTGAACACAATTCAGGGTGGAGTATCTACACTAGTTGAACACAATTCAGGGTGGAGTATCTACACTAGTTGAACACAATTCAGGGTGGAGTATCTACACTAGTTCAACACAATTCAGGGTGGAGTATCTACACTAGTTGAACACAATTCAGGGTGGAGTATCTACACTAGTTCAACACAATTCAGGGTGGAGTATCTACACTAGTTGAACACAATTCAGGGTGGAGTATCTACACTAGTTGAACACAATTCAGGGTGGAGTATCTACACTAGTTCAACACAATTCAGGGTGGAGTATCTACACTAGTTCAACACAATTCAGGGTGGAGTATCTACACTAGTTCAACACAATTCAGGGTGGAGTATCTACACTAGTTCAACACAATTCAGGGTGGAGTATCTACACTAGTTGAACACAATTCAGGGTGGAGTATCTACACTAGTTGAACACAATTCAGGGTGGAGTATCTACACTAGTTGAACACAATTCAGGGTGGAGTATCTACACTAGTTGAACACAATTCAGGGTGGAGTATCTACACTAGTTGAACACAATTCAGGGTGGAGTATCTACACTAGTTGAACACAATTCAGGGTGGAGTATCTACACTAGTTGAACACAATTCAGGGTGGAGTATCTACACTAGTTGAACACAATTCAGGGTGGAGTATCTACACTAGTTGAACACAATTCAGGGTGGAGTATCTACACTAGTTGAACACAATTCAGGGTGGAGTATCTACACTAGTTGAACACAATTCAGGGTGGAGTATCTACACTAGTTGAACACAATTCAGGGTGGAGTATCTACACTAGTTGAACACAATTCAGGGTGGAGTATCTACACTAGTTGAACACAATTCAGGGTGGAGTATCTACACTAGTTCAACACAATTCAGGGTGGAGTATCTACACTAGTTGAACACAATTCAGGGTGGAGTATCTACACTAGTTGAACACAATTCAGGGTGGAGTATCTACACTAGTTGAACACAATTCAGGGTGGAGTATCTACACTAGTTGAACACAATTCAGGGTGGAGTATCTACACTAGTTGAACACAATTCAGGGTGGAGTATCTACACTAGTTCAACACAATTCAGGGTGGAGTATCTACACTAGTTGCAACACAATTCAGGGTGGAGTATCTACACTAGTTCAACACAATTCAGGGTGGAGTATCTACACTAGTTCAACACAATTCAGGGTGGAGTATCTACACTAGTTCAACACAATTCAGGGTGGAGTATCTACACTAGTTCAACACAATTCAGGGTGGAGTATCTACACTAGTTCAACACAATTCAGGGTGGAGTATCTACACTAGTTCAACACAATTCAGGGTGGAGTATCTACACTAGTTCAACACAATTCAGGGTGGAGTATCTACACTAGTTCAACACAATTCAGGGTGGAGTATCTACACTAGTTCAACACAATTCAGGGTGGAGTATCTACACTAGTTGAACACAATTCAGGGTGGAGTATCTACACTAGTTGAACACAATTCAGGGTGGAGTATCTACACTAGTTGAACACAATTCAGGGTGGAGTATCTACACTAGTTGAACACAATTCAGGGTGGAGTATCTACACTAGTTGAACACAATTCAGGGTGGAGTATCTACACTAGTTGAACACAATTCAGGGTGGAGTATCTACACTAGTTCAACACAATTCAGGGTGGAGTATCTACACTAGTTGAACACAATTCAGGGTGGAGTATCTACACTAGTTCAACACAATTCAGGGTGGAGTATCTACACTAGTTCAACACAATTCAGGGTGGAGTATCTACACTAGTTCAACACAATTCAGGGTGGAGTATCTACACTAGTTCAACACAATTCAGGGTGGAGTATCTACACTAGTTCAACACAATTCAGGGTGGAGTATCTACACTAGTTCAACACAATTCAGGGTGGAGTATCTACACTAGTTCAACACAATTCAGGGTGGAGTATCTACACTAGTTCAACACAATTCAGGGTGGAGTATCTACACTAGTTCAACACAATTCAGGGTGGAGTATCTACACTAGTTGAACACAATTCAGGGTGGAGTATCTACACTAGTTGAACACAATTCAGGGTGGAGTATCTACACTAGTTCAACACAATTCAGGGTGGAGTATCTACACTAGTTGAACACAATTCAGGGTGGAGTATCTACACTAGTTGAACACAATTCAGGGTGGAGTATCTACACTAGTTCAACACAATTCAGGGTGGAGTATCTACACTAGTTGAACACAATTCAGGGTGGAGTATCTACACTAGTTGAACACAATTCAGGGTGGAGTATCTACACTAGTTCAACACAATTCAGGGTGGAGTATCTACACTAGTTGAACACAATTCAGGGTGGAGTATCTACACTAGTTGAACACAATTCAGGGTGGAGTATCTACACTAGTTGAACACAATTCAGGGTGGAGTATCTACACTAGTTCAACACAATTCAGGGTGGAGTATCTACACTAGTTCAACACAATTCAGGGTGGAGTATCTACACTAGTTCAACACAATTCAGGGTGGAGTATCTACACTAGTTGAACACAATTCAGGGTGGAGTATCTACACTAGTTGAACACAATTCAGGGTGGAGTATCTACACTAGTTGAACACAATTCAGGGTGGAGTATCTACACTAGTTGAACACAATTCAGGGTGGAGTATCTACACTAGTTGAACACAATTCAGGGTGGAGTATCTACACTAGTTCAACACAATTCAGGGTGGAGTATCTACACTAGTTCAACACAATTCAGGGTGGAGTATCTACACTAGTTGAACACAATTCATGGTGGAGTATCTACACTAGTTGAACACAATTCAGGGTGGAGTATCTACACTAGTTCAACACAATTCAGGGTGGAGTATCTACACTAGTTCAACACAATTCAGGGTGGAGTTTTTACACTAGTTCAACACAATTCAGGGTGGAGTATCTACACTAGTTCAACACAATTCAGGGTGGAGTATCTACACTAGTTCAACACAATTCAGGGTGGAGTATCTACACTAGTTGAACACAATTCAGGGTGGAGTATCTACACTAGTTGAACACAATTCAGGGTGGAGTTTTTACACTAGTTGAACACAATTCAGGGTGGAGTATCTACACTAGTTCAACACAATTCAGGGTGGAGTATCTACACTAGTTCAACACAATTCAGGGTGGAGTATCTACACTAGTTCAACACAATTCAGGGTGGAGTATCTACACTAGTTCAACACAATTCAGGGTGGAGTATCTACACTAGTTCAACACAATTCAGGGTGGAGTATCTACACTAGTTCAACACAATTCAGGGTGGAGTATCTACACTAGTTGAACACAATTCAGGGTGGAGTATCTACACTAGTTCAACACAATTCAGGGTGGAGTATCTACACTAGTTGAACACAATTCAGGGTGGAGTATCTACACTAGTTGAACACAATTCAGGGTGGAGTATCTACACTAGTTGAACACAATTCAGGGTGGAGTATCTACACTAGTTCAACACAATTCAGGGTGGAGTATCTACACTAGTTGAACACAATTCAGGGTGGAGTATCTACACTAGTTGAACACAATTCAGGGTGGAGTATCTACACTAGTTGAACACAATTCAGGGTGGAGTATCTACACTAGTTCAACACAATTCAGGGTGGAGTATCTACACTAGTTCAACACAATTCAGGGTGGAGTATCTACACTAGTTCAACACAATTCAGGGTGGAGTATCTACACTAGTTGAACACAATTCAGGGTGGAGTATCTACACTAGTTGAACACAATTCAGGGTGGAGTATCTACACTAGTTGAACACAATTCAGGTTGGAGTATCTACACTAGTTCAACACAATTCAGGGTGGAGTATCTACACTAGTTCAACACAATTCAGGGTGGAGTATCTACACTAGTTCAACACAATTCAGGGTGGAGTATCTACACTAGTTCAACACAATTCAGGGTGGAGTATCTACACTAGTTCAACACAATTCAGGGTGGAGTATCTACACTAGTTCAACACAATTCAGGGTGGAGTATCTACACTAGTTGAACACAATTCAGGGTGGAGTATCTACACTAGTTCAACACAATTCAGGGTGGAGTATCTACACTAGTTCAACACAATTCAGGGTGGAGTTTTTACACTAGTTCAGAGACAACATTTGGGAAAAAATTTTTAAGCTGATAAAATTCAGATCACGACACAGTGACCAAACAGTAATGAAAATATTATTATGACTATACTTTCAGCTGACTACATGGTATATATTATGCAACGAATAAGGAAGGTTCTTGAACTGGAAAATTCTTGAAAGTTCGTGTAATAGTTGAGTGGGGCACATAGCATAAAGGTGTAATTTTAATTTTTCCTTTGTAGTTGTGATCTCGAAATTGAAATGACAACTTAAATTAAACGAAATATTTCGGATGTACGACATCTTCATCCGTCTGAAATTACAAAAACAAATTTCATCAGTACAAGATGAACAGATAGTTCTTTTATTCAAATTTCTGATTGTTTCTGAATAGACTCAGTGATGACAGATTCTAATGGAAATAAATAGCTGAATAACGTATCGACATTTCTACGTCATACTCATATTCTGAAATAGTATTAATTCAATTATAACGATCAATATTCACATTAAAAATTTGACGACGAAATTTATTTCAAACAAAATATATAACTGTAAAATAGTTATCAACCGTAAATAGTTTTTAACGAAATCGGAGCAAATATGAACATAAAACTGACAAAATTTATCAAATAGGGCTCATCTGAAAATTAACGAATAGCGTGACGTTATACAGGAGATAAAAGATTAAAAGAGATAAAAGAATTAAACGAGAATATTACTATTTACACGTCACTCAACTAAAAACTGTGTTAGATTGTTCAACTCTGTTTTATCGTTGAGTGTTGGTTTATTTTCAACTAAAAATCGGGCTTCTTTAATCTTTCTGTTGATGAGTGATGTTCCTCTATCTACGATTTGAAGTTTAAGTTTTGGGGGGCCTTTGTGCTGAGGGTGACTTTCCCTGTAGTGCTTTGCTAGTGGCTTATCTTCGTAAGATTTTGCTGTTGGATTTGCCGCACTACGGTATTGCTCGTCGAACCTGCACTTGATCGGTCTGTATGTTTCCCCACCATAGTTCTCGGTACAATTGTCTACTTCGCAAGTGATGTGGTAGACGGTATTAGTTGTGGTGCATTCTCCATCGGTTAAAGCTGCGCATGTTCTGCAGTTTGATGTTGTACAGGATTTCTTGTCAAGGGGTCTGGAGTCTGTAAGGAGATCCTTCAGTTTCCGTCCAGGTTTCTCGACAATTTTGATGGGGAGTCCACTATGTCTGACAGCATCTCTGTATTTGCGACTAGTACAGTGGCGTAACGTTGCCTGTTGGCGCCCCCCTGCCGAAAAAAGCGCCCCCTGTTGGCGCCCCTCCCCTTTTGGTGCCCCTCCCTTAAATTGAAAAAATTAGGTGATTTTAAAGAATACGCCGGTAAAATCTCTAAAAAAGTGTGTATCTTGAGCAAAACGTGCAGTTTTGCTAGTACTTTAGTTAAGTTTTCGAAATTGTCCCACATTCAAACGACGATTTGGCGCCCCCCTAAGACGGCGCCCCCCTGCACAGCGGGGTCAGCAGGGCCTTTCGTTACGCCACTGCACTAGTAGCTTCGTTAACATAGGGTAGTTTGAGAATCGCTCCGTCTTGGTCTTTGTTCTGTACTTTCTGATTAATTCTCTTTCTACGTTTTCTCTTGTTCTTTATGGTTTCTAAGACTCTATCAGTGTAGCCGTTGTTGATGAGAAGTTTATCTATCATCTTTTCTGAGTACTTCTCGTTTTCTCTGTTGTTAGAGACTGCCTCTGCGGTGTTGTACATACTCTCAACAGTAGCATTCTTTGTACGTGTTGTATGATGAGAGTTGTAGTGGAGGGTGAGTGGCTTTTTCTGTGGTTTTCTGTAGAGTCTAGAATGTACTATTCCATCTGAGTCGATCTTTATTTCCGTGTTGAGGAAGGGAACAAAGTCGTTCTGATTGTCAGGGTACACCAATATCAACGTACTAACAGCAATAGAAGATGTCATGGAATTTGCCAAAGAAAATAGACAGTCAATCAGTACATACGGTCTCCATCTCTCTGATTTACAAGAACTACTAGAGACAACCCTAGGAAAGTCATATTTTGTCTACAACAATCAAGTCTACCTACAGCTTCTTGGATTGTTCATGGGAACCAACCCTGCACCTATACTAGCTACTGTAAAAATGTGGAAACTGGAAAAACTTTCAGTCTACGTAGACCTGAGGATAACACTGCCCACCTACAGCAGGTTTTACGACGGTCTAAACGGAGCCACCACCAACAGACGAAAAGCTCAGCAACTGTGCAACCTCATCGAACAACAAGATCCTGACAAACTTATCAAACTAACTGTAGACTACCCTGACAATCAGAACGACTTTGTTCCCTTCCTCAACACGGAAATAAAGATCGACTCAGATGGAATAGTACATTCTAGACTCTACAGAAAACCACAGAAAAAGCCACTCACCCTCCACTACAACTCTCATCATACAACACGTACAAAGAATGCTACTGTTGAGAGTATGTACAACACCGCAGAGGCAGTCTCTAACAACAGAGAAAACGAGAAGTACTCAGAAAAGATGATAGATAAACTTCTCATCAACAACGGCTACACTGATAGAGTCTTAGAAACCATAAAGAACAAGAGAAAACGTAGAAAGAGAATTAATCAGAAAGTACAGAACAAAGACCAAGACGGAGCGATTCTCAAACTACCCTATGTTAACGAAGCTACTAGTCGCAAATACAGAGATGCTGTCAGACATAGTGGACTCCCCATCAAAATTGTCGAGAAACCTGGACGGAAACTGAAGGATCTCCTTACAGACTCCAGACCCCTTGACAAGAAATCCTGTACAACATCAAACTGCAGAACATGCGCAGCTTTAACCGATGGAGAATGCACCACAACTAATACCGTCTACCACATCACTTGCGAAGTAGACAATTGTACCGAGAACTATGGTGGGGAAACATACAGACCGATCAAGTGCAGGTTCGACGAGCATTACCGTAGTGCGGCAAATCCAACAGCAAAATCTTACGAAGATAAGCCACTAGCAAAGCACTACAGGGAAAGTCACCCTCAGCACAAAGGCCCCCCAAAACTTAAACTTCAAATCGTAGATAGAGGAACATCACTCATCAACAGAAAGATTAAAGAAGCCCGATTTTTAGTTGAAAATAAACCAACACTCAACGATAAAACAGAGTTGAACAATCTAACACAGTTTTTAGTTGAGTGACGTGTAAATAGTAATATTCTCGTTTAATTCTTTTATCTCTTTTAATCTTTTATCTCCTGTATAACGTCACGCTATTCGTTAATTTTCAGATGAGCCCTATTTGATAAATTTTGTCAGTTTTATGTTCATATTTGCTCCGATTTCGTTAAAAACTATTTACGGTTGATAACTATTTTACAGTTATATATTTTGTTTGAAATAAATTTCGTCGTCAAATTTTTAATGTGAATATTGATCGTTATAATTGAATTAATACTATTTCAGAATATGAGTATGACGTAGAAATGTCGATACGTTATTCAGCTATTTATTTCCATTAGAATCTGTCATCACTGAGTCTATTCAGAAACAATCAGAAATTTGAATAAAAGAACTATCAAATCATGAGACTCAAAAAAACACTACACGAATCCACCAGATTACCAAGATGAACAGATGTAAAACCAACGTAGTGAAATCTTCAAAACCAAATACTTTTAAAGTACAACAGTATACAGTGAAATTAAAAAGTTGAAACCTAATAACTACCTTATGAGACATATTTAAATGGTACGAAAGTCTGTGGTTTTTTGAAAAACACACCATATTTTCGGACTACCAAAATTTAGGTCACCATGGCCATCATTATTTTCCCCAAATTATTTTCACGTATTTTCCTTAATTATGACTTTATCGATTTACTATCAACTAATCAATATAGTAAGTTAGTGCCCAATTGAAATAATTCTTTCTGGTATAACTTAGTACCACCACTGGTTCGGGGAATTTGTCAACTCGAAAAATATTCGTGTTCATTTTTTTCAAATGAAGATTCATTTTCGCATTAATTTGATAATTTGGATAGTCGGATCAAGCTAAATTTTATTGAATTGAGTTTGGCCATTCGAATAACGTTTGTCCTGAAAAAAATAGAGTTATAGCTTCTCAGATGACCGAGATACGAAGCATAACGAGTTTATTCATTACGTGTGATCAGGTGATAGGCTCACCTAATCACGTGATAAGGTGACCCCGGTAACTACCCCGTTGAAAATTATGGGAATCGTTAAGGCTGCCCAATTAAGGTGTCGTGTCACGGTGTCACATAATCACCCAATCAATTTTGCTAACGAGATACACAAATCGCTTGATAACTTCGTCATTTCTAATCTGTTTCACATCATTTTTTCAGATCAGATGCAAAATGTAATAATCTACCGTCTCAGAAAAAATTAGGCGTCCAACATGTTCACAGAGAACAATATAGGTGTTTTAATATTGAATGGGCGTGGTCTAAAATATTCGAATTTTCAAATTTTTTTTTGTGTCATGTTTGCAAATTTTAAAATATCTTAATGCTTAACTTAGTTTTATATCCAAACATGCTTATAACTAAATTTTATTTATGCAATTTGAAAATAAATATGACATAACATGGCAACAAACTATTCCAATTGCAACCAATTTATTTCCAGTAAAAATATTTTTTCGAAAATGGAAAAGATGTTTGTGTTCAGTTTTTATTTTAGTGCTGCACTTATAACTTATCACACCGCTGCATATTTTTTATTTAAAAAGAACAATTAATGTTCACAGTTCATGTTTATTGTTGGAAACAATAATTGTGTAATTTTTAAATAATTTATTTTACGTAAATATATTAAGGGGCGCGATTATATTTTGATCGTTCTGTGTACATGCCTGTACGTTTATGTTTGATGAGTAAGCTGCACAGTGGCTGCGCTGCAACTAGCGCACAAATTTGGCGCCCCGCCGACAGTCGAACTAAGTAGACCTTACGTCAATTTATCATTAAACAACGTATGATTTTGCCATTTGCACAAATATTATAAAAATGCGCGGTCACGCCGCGCACAGTCAACATTTTGATGAAACAGCTATTTTTTTTTTTTATTTGAAAGTTCAATTAATTATTATATATAAATCAAGCGTTACATTTCAGCCATGCAAAATTACAATGACATATTTTGATAAACTAATTGATAAATGGAACTGCAATATAAGTTGCTTAATGTTTGGCCGGATGACAACTAACTGAAAGAGAAAAATAAACTTGATTACATAATAATTAATTCAGCTGAACCAACACATAGCAAGAGCCACATTAACGTTGGGGCCGTCTACCAAATTTGAATGACATACAATAACAAGAAATCAAACATATCATAAATAATTATATATGGATTTTGTTCATTACAATTCCGTCACAACTGAAATTGGACGGACAGAATTGTAACCAACAAAAACACATACAGTCAGTTATGCACATTTATCTGCACGATTTGAGAGAGTTTTTTCCTGAAGCACAGGCCTTCATCAAGGTATTAGTAACTTTCACTCGGAGACACCCTTTTTAGCTTGGGCATAATCCTACAGGACGCTTTGAAGTGGAGTCACCGAATCGCGACTGACCCGCACTTAAAATGTGCCTAACTCGGCTTCTAATTGACCAATTGAAATGAATGAACACGTCAAAATGACCGGAATGATCACATTAATAGGGGTTTTAAGGTCCCAAACCCTTTAGTTTTTGAGTTATAAGACAAAAACAGTGTAGCGAAGCCAAAAAATCAGGATTTTGAAACTTTATTTATCGTGGGTTTAAGAAGATCAAGAACCCCACCAAAATGACCAGGATGAGCGCATTAGTGTAGGCGAATGAAGGTTTCAAGGTCCTAAACCCTTTATTTTTTGAGTTACCTTACTCGGGATTATTACGACGGGTTTATTAACGACCGGTTAAAATATGGTTCGGGAAAAATATGGCGAAATTGCTCAAAACCCACCACATTTTCCCGGTCGCCATTTTACCGGTGTCCAACCTTTCAATTTTAGATTCAAAAATTTTGTCTCAGATGTAAATTTCCTTATTAGAGATAAGCAAGTTTAGAAATTTTCGCATTGCTAAAACTTGTGAAACAAGTCGAATTATCAATAATTGTTGAAAGAGACAGAAATAATGACTCGTGGTTAATCAAACTAGATGGAAAATAATTTTTAACATTTGAAGCGTAACAACCAGATCGATATTAAGATGAAGGGAGAGCTGTTTAGTCTTCCAATAAGTTGTAATCATCTTCGTTATCTTCATCTGGATCATCCCTTTCATCAGTTTTAATTAATTCAAGTTTTAATTTTACTGTTACTTTTACTTTGAGTCCTATTTCATTATGTAGAGATAGTCAATACCTAAGAAATTAAAAATTGGCCTATTTAAATCAAATTTGACAATAAGGATATTATATGACAAGAATTGGGCAAAAAGGTGAATTTTTTGCAATTTTAGCCAAATGAAGTCGAAAAACCTACAACAAGTGTCCCAATAGTCTTCTTTAGTGAATATAAGACAACGATTAAAATATGAGCACCCATACCCCCTGGGAACCCTAAAAGCTGAGTAGGCGGGTTTATTAACGACCGGTGAAAATGTGGTTCGGGAAAAATATGGCGAAATTACCCTAAACCCACCACTTTATCCCGGTCATAATAATCCCGAGTAAGGTATACACTAAAAACTTTGCCGCGAAATCACAAAATTTGCCGCAATAAGTATCTTTAAGGATAATCATTAAGTCTGTTAATATGGGTTTACATAAGACGTGAGAGCCTGTGAGCGTGTTAGTTTCTAGTGTTAGTTTAACTCCAAGGTTACCGTTTCGCCAGTACTACCCACTAAGTTTGGCTGGTTGAACGAGAAAGCATTATATTTTAACAAACTTATATTTCAATATGTTGACAAGAACCCAAGGGTGGGAACTCTAGATTTTAATGAATTTGTCGATGAAGAAGGTTAACTAGCTGACCAGTTCGGTCGTTTCAAGTATAAAAGTGATGCCATCCATCTTGGGTCTACTGGTATCTTTAAGTTTTCTAGGCTAATAGTGGATAAAATACAGCGCAATCCAATAGATGGGCGCCAATTTAGTGATATTGCTAGGAGTAAAGTTGGGATGTTCAATTCACGTGTTCAAAGAGCTCCTAAACCATGAATAGAACAACTATATGTGAGAACTGTGTCTGCTGCAGCAAACCTATTCGTGCTGGACACCCATTTATAAATTGCAATTAGTGTGATTGCATCATTCACAAGAGATGTAAAACACAGGAAAACATTGCCACTTTTAGAGAAAAACTTACTGCTCAAATTGTATTCAAAATCATGATATAATTCGTTATAATCCATTCTATCAAGCACCTCACTTTTCAAACAACGAACTACTTGACAATGAACCTCACGACTATATAGACTCAATAGGTACAATCTCAAAAACTCTTGAGAACTGTCAATCATATTCTACTAAAAACTTCAACAACCTCATAAAGCAGATTCCTCAAAAAACGACATGGAAATATTTACCCAGGCTACCTATAATGTCCATTAACTTGCTCTAACCAGAGCCCTCTCGCTTGCAGTAGCGCGTGACCGCCGAAGGCGGCAAAGATATATTCTACTTGTGAAACAAGCGCGTCACGCAGTATGCGTATACAAATGGCTATGTGAAGACCGGTGTGACATAGCAATTGTAGGTTTACAACCTACCAGGACGCGCGCCGAGTTGGACTCGTCGAAGGTCCAATATATGGAACAGATATTTTACGAGTATCACTCGTTAACATAGCAACTACTAAAATGTTGTTTTATAGCTATAGCTCACCTTTCTGTTCCACACCCAGCTCAGCTGACATGACTCAAGTGTTCCCTTTGCTCTATCCATGATCCAGAGCCCTTGCACTTGCAGTGGCGCGCGCCCGCCTCACAAGCGCGCCTGCAGTTACCTGGGGACCCAGGCTATTATGTTCATAAACACAAACACAAATAAAGATTTAGCTGAATGACAGGCTGAGCGCGGCCCAGTAAGCCCGCAGCGGCGCGAAAGCACATGGTTAAGTAAACGTTAATAAAACAAAAGTTTTTAATATGAATTTTTAATATGAATTTTTATGAATCATTTTGTAGGAATGTCATGTAGGTTTGCAACCTACCAGGACACGCGCCGAGT